CACACGGTGCACCTTACATACAGTGTATCTTCCACTGCTCAAGCCAGTGTGTACAGAGTCTCTTTCTCTTCAAAGGAAAAGGATTGGAATGATTGGAATTTTTCACAGGATCATGTAGCGGTTTATCATCATAACAATCCGTATGCTCAACAACTCAATTTGTTTCTGCATGTGTCTGTCTATCTGTTTGTCTGTGCGCCATGCTGTGTGTGTGTATGCACACATGCACGTCTTTCTGTGTACAGGTACATCACATTTCTAAGGTTCCGTCCTGGCCTGCTGCAACGGCCCGGTGTCAACCTAGATACATACCACCCGGCTGAAGATGAATGCTGTGCATAGCCAGTTCCTATGGTTACCATTGCAGTTACCATGGCAATTTAAATGCCTACCATGGTAGTTGTATTATAGTGAGAAGACATGTGCAAACGTTTAGCAATGCTGTACCATGCACACCCACATCCACCCCCCCCCCACACTCCCCCCCCCCCCCACACACACACATGTACACACCACGTACACACACGCACACACGCACACACACACACACACACACACACACACACACACACACACACACACTACTAGTATCTTCTAGAACCGAGAAAACACGAGCACTCATCACCAGCTACAACCAACAGCCACTGCAACAGCTTTCTAGCATACTCGTCTCATTTTCTCTGTGCTGTGCTGACAAGCCCGCAAAGGGCAAAACGGTGCTGTTCGCAAATTGACTAGTATGATACATATACTAATAAAGCCAAATTGTGAACAATAGGGCTTGAAAGTGATGACGTCAAAAACGGCCTGGGAGTAGTAAATTGACATCAGATTTCTATTTTGGATCCACTAAGGTGTGACTTTGCTATTGCCTCAGTATGTGGGTGCATAGCAACCCACTCATGTCGTATGCAGGTGCAACTTTTACTTCGCCACCAGTTGTCACCCCGCCCCCACTAGCCAAATCAGTCAGTTTCACTGGCAACATCACCTTGCTGTGAGTGAGACCGCTTGAAATGTGCTTGGATCCATACAAAAACTGGATCCAGGTGGATCCAGTTTTCGAATTTTTCAAATTGTTGCTATGCCATTGCTATGGAGTGACGTAGCACTTTCAAGCCCTATAAGCAATCTCCATTGTAAGGTTGGAAGTTCTTAAAGGGGAAGTTAAGGCTAAAAATCAAAATTCCACCAGTTGTAGTCTTCGGGGTGCTGAGTCGAATGGTCTTGGTCCGAGAAAGCTGAGACGCTCCCTTCCTACTTTAATCCCAATCGAACTCGCGCACTTCCACCGAAACTGGGTGACTGCGCCCTACTAGATGGGGATTTGTGTGCAAAATGTCACTAAAAGCGCCATTTCGTTCTTATAAAAGCACGGATGACCGCGATTGGCCCATATGTTGTAGTCTTTTGGACGCTGAGTCGACTGGTTTTGGTCCGAAAAGGCTGCGATGCAGCGTTCCTCCTTTATTCCCAATCGAACATGGTTGAACAAGTGGTCACGTGCTCCTGGGTGCCCAAATCACCTGGTCACCACGCCAGCAGGCGACAACTTTCACACCAAGGTTCAACTCGAGTTCAACTCGAGTGACAGAACTGCACTCAAAAAAGGTCAAACAGGCTAGTAAGTTGTACCCTTCAGGCACGGTGACCAGGTGACTGGTGTACGCAGGAGCACGTGACCGCTTGTTCAACCATGTTCGATTGGGAATAAAGGAGGAACGCTGCATCGCAGCCTTTTCGGACCAAAACCAGTCGACTCAGCGTCCAAAAGACTACAACATATGGGCCAATCGCGGTCATCCGTGCTTTTATAAGAACGACATGGCGCTTTTAGTGACATTTTGCATACAAATCCCCATCTAGTAGGGCGCAGTCACCCAGTTTCGGTGGAAGTGCGCGAGTTCGATTGGGATTAAAGTAGGAAGGGAGCGTCTCAGCTTCCTCGGACCACGACCATTCGACTCAGCACCCCGAAGACTACAACTGGTGAAATTTTTGATTTTAGCCTTAACTTCCCCTTTAACCTGTTTTCACAGCTTCTCTTCAAAAAGAGAATCTGTGTAATACATGAGGTACGCACTGGATTATACTATTGCAAAGGAAGAATGAACACCCAGGGTAGATGGAAAAGCCGCTTGGGTGAACCGTACAACCGTCGTCACTCGAACCATGGCCACTGGTGCGATTGCGAAGTACCGCGTCAGTCACTTTGTGACCCTCGTATTTGTTGCTCAACGTACTATACTGCGTGCTGGTCGGTCCATGGTTGGTAACCCGCAATGCCAAAGCCGTTTAGCATGCCTCTCAAGAACCAGGTGCAGAAGTACTGAGATGCAAGGAAAACGTGCACGCGGGTACAAGACCAGTTGACATTAATTAAACAGCAATGCCCCATGTACAGGTATCCATTTTCTATAACTCTAGAGTTTCGTATTCAGAAGCACTTATCAGACGGGGAAATAATCAGGTCAAGCTATTTGCTAAAAAAAAAAGAGTAAATTATCGTGTCCGTTCCCGAAGGGAACTCACGACGGCCGCTAACACCCGGTAAACCCTAGCTAGCTATCATGGTATACGAGGTAGACGTTTGTAGGAGCTGTATCTAACAGCACCCCAACCTCTGAGCTGTGACAAACCTCACTCAGTGTTACAGGTTATTTTCGTGCTTTCTGTTGTTTTGCCTTTGTAAGTTTGTATACTGGATTGAGGAGTGCTGGTTTCGAAACTGGCAACTGGTTGAAACTCAAGGTAGAGCTGCTGGTAGCTCAAAGTAGAGTTTCTGGCAGCTCAAAGTAGCTGCTGATAGCTCAAAGTAGCTGCTGTTAGCTCAAAGTAGACCTGCTGTTAGCTCAAAGTAGACCTGCTGTTAGCTCAAAGTAGATTTGCAATACTGAATGGAAGCAATATGGCTCAAGGCAGAGCCCCAGCAAATAGCTAGATAAGGCCGGGCGCCATTTTGTGATTGCACGGCCAGAAAGCATATGACGTCAGTCTTGAATGCAGTGCAAAACATTGCAGTGCGGGCGCTAGTTCGGATTGGTGCTAACGAGTACTAGCACGGCTAGTACCCCAGTAACAGCGACAACAACTACGCCGAAGTAACACCAGAAAAATCACAACACCAACAACTACAACACAAATAACAACAACAACAACTTCAAAAAACAACAACACCAATAACAACAACAACTACACCAATAACAACAAAAATATTGACCATTGGCCATCGTGAGAATAAGAGATTTCAAACAAACAAAGGCCCAAGGCTGGTGAAGCTGATATCCTACGGCTTGGCGCATTATAGCACTAAAATAATAATAATAATAATAATAATAATGACAGTTCGCATTTCACTCATTGCATGAGGTCAACGCATCTGTTAACAATTTCGAGCCAAGCAGCTCTATCAGAAGCAGATTGCACAGCATCCAGAAGCGACAGATTAATGCATTGTAAGTCTTTCTTGACAACGTCGATCCATCTCAGACGTGGTCGTCCTCGGGGTCGTCGTATGTCTGTTGTGAAGCACTAAAAGCTACAAATAAAAAAGAAAGAACAGGCTGCCCGCTTGTCCAAGAAGGGCTATACTTTACTTCCTGCAACGCTCTCCTGAGACTACTTCGTCCAGAGTCCGACTGGCAGGTTTGTTGTTGTTGTAAGAAAATATTGTTTTGCTCTCTCACTCCCTCAGCGCCGTAAGTTCTTATCACCATGCATGTGTCGATTACTTTAGGTTCGGCTTGGAGCTTGATAGCCGTGACTCTAGAGTGCATGGAGAGTGACTGATATCCGCGGGATTGCCCGTGCAACTACACTACTTGTCCAGATGGGAGTCGGATTTGCCGGGTCTGGGGCGATTCTATAGCTGTACAGGATACAGGCCACCGCTGCTTTCAGCTCATCCATGGCCATCGCTTGCCCTATGCAGTTCCTCGGACCCGCGGAAAACGGAATGAAGGCGAAGGAGTTACGGCCAACACTCTGCTCGGCGCTGAAGCGATCCGGATTGAACTGCTGCGGCTCGGGCCAGTATTCCGGGTGCGTATGGACGTCGTACATTGAAACCTCGATATGGGAGCCTCTCGGTATCGTACACCCGTCCATGGTAATGTCTTCCGTAGCTGCTCGAGCCACTGCCGGAACTGGGCAGCTGAAGCGTAGGCTCTCCTTGATGAACTGTGTAGTGTAGATCATTTGCTGCAAATCGCCATGCTTCAGCGTGGCCGGCCCCGAGCTCAGCAAGCCTTGCACTTCCTCTCGGCATTTTTCCTGTAGATCGGCGTGAACAGAGAGGTGATGGATAATCCACTGCAGTGCACTTGCTGTTGTGTCATGGCCACGGAATAGGAACGTGTCCACTTGCTCGCGAATTTCAGTGTCCGTCAAGCCTTTGCCGTCTTCATCTTTTACGGTCAGAAGGACATCGAGAAAGTCGCGATATTGGTGCTTGTGCACTTGAGAATGGCTGTCCTCTTCCTGAAGGGCTGCCCGACGTCTTTCAATCAGCTTCTGGCTGACGGAGTGGACCAGCTCTAAGCAACGAGTGAATTCTTTTCCGTCGGCCGAGTTGAAATAGAGAAAATCATTGTGCTTCATGATGTGGAAAATTCGATCCATGAGCTTGTTTGTTAGCTCTGTAACAGTGGCTGCATACTTCGGTGCTTCTTCCTGGTCGCTTCCCTCTTCTTCTAGCTGGCAATTGGACTCGAATCCCATGGCACATCTCAACATCACGTCTAGCGTTAGCAGTGTACATGAAGCAGTTACGTCCACGCTCTCTCCTTTCACACACGACTCAGACCATTTCTGCAGCATGATGCCGCACGCATCCGTATACACCTCTACGTAGTCTCGCAGTATGTCAAAGTGGAAGCAGTGAGTGAGCAGTCGCCGATCTCTGGCCCACTTCTGCCCATTGCTTACCAATAGGCCTTCTCCCAGCCATGGCTTCAAGAAACCGTAGATGTAATCGTGCTTCGGAAGAGAAGACCGGAGAACTTCTGCGGCCGTGTCTGCATGACACAGCTGCACGATGTCCATCAAATATGAAATGCCGTATCGATAGAGTCTTGGGCATTTGGATCGCCATTTTCGCCGTCTTTCCAGGATCTTGCTCCGATTGGATAGGACTTTGACATGGCCGAGAAGAAAATGGGCTGGCTCCGGGACCGGTACAGATCTAATCATCCATTTGAAGCGCACGAACGCCCATAGCCGGGGTGTGAGCAATACAAACAGTGTACACAGAGCTAGGAACACCCAACCAACCATGTCGGACGCGGCTGTTCGCCAGGACTATCGCGTCTCTCTCCACCCGTAATAATCTGCTGCGGTGCCTATCGTCCCAGGATGCAACCCACTATACTAGTAAAGTAGTATAAATAATTACATGAGAGGTTGCACTTGCAGTGGTTAGCAAAGGTGACCAAAATGATTCATTTGGAAAGCGCAGTTTCTCCACCGAGTCAGCGTTCAGGTTATCTGATGACCCCCTTGGCCTTGCCTTGGCATGCTTTGGCAATCAATGCCTTGAGGCTTTGGTGTGAAACTCGTAGCAACGGCTCCTCCTCATTCATTGTTCCTCCTCCTGTCCGTTGTAATGATCATGATGATCAGGTAGATCTGCAGCTAGCTGTACCTGATTGACCATGATCAGGGAGTGATGAGTCGTAAAATACCTGACCGTAGGCTGACGACTCCCTGATTACTTCAATACTTGTACTAATGTCTTGTACTTGTAGTTGTAGGTCTACTTTGTAATGTACTTCAGGTACTTAGACCTGGCAGACTGTTTGACAGTACACATGCACACAGTGGCCTACTTAGTCTTTTGTAGGTTATGATTGCCCATGACAGTACATATTGATCACTAATTTTATTATGCATGAGCTGACATGTCATCGAGTGACGTTTTTTTCCGTGGCGGGAGCCCTGAGAATTATTTGAAATGATTATGACTGTGACACGTACAGAGCCCGATGAGCGAAATGTTGACACTATTTTCATAGTATTTGCGCGTGTGGCAGTTCTGGCAGCGTGAAATGTGTTTCGATCCTAACAACACCTACATATTAGTACTAGTACTAGTAGTAGGCTGAGACAAGTCTCACCGTTCAAGATGTTCTCCAGTCTGGCTGCTCGCACTTGCCTGGTGAAGTAGGCAATAACGCACGGAACCAGTATGTCGTTCCCTAATCCTAGCGACGGTCTGGAGAGGAGGGTTGCTGCTGCTTCTGGTACAGTGCCGAAGCCGTCAGAAGCCGACTTGAGGGAGCAACTCTTTGAATCGTTCAAAGACAAGGGCGTAGTTCGCTCCCTGAAGGTAGGCGCTCTCAACAAAAGTGTGTATGTAAACGTCATTCATAAACTACATTTTGTGAAAGAAGTACACTATTAAAAAGTGGGCGTGGAGACAGGAAACCTAATATCGATGAAAGTAAAGTGAGCGCACTCGTACCACAATGGAAACTCATACCACAATGGAAACTCATACCACAATGGAACATGAAAATCACATCACCTGAGAACGACGTTCAAATCTTTTAAAATATTGTTCTATTGTTCTCTGGTATGAGTGCGCTCACTTTACTTTCATCGATATTTAGTACAGAATTCAACACACCACACCACCACATAATCATTGCGCTCTTGGCCGATTCAAACTCTGCACTCACATCACCATCATCACAGCGAGGACGTTGTATTTCTCGCTGGCCGAGCGCAGCGAGATAGGCGAGAAATGATTTCTCGCGAAAATATTTTCAGTTGCAAATATGGCATCTGGTGTATTCTTTGTTGTCACTTCTTTTCATGACTTCTTCAGTCAGTTTTGAGTCTCACCAGTGTCCCTGCCCTCCCACCCTTCATTTCCGTGTATATTATCATTGCTTTTTATCACTGTTTGCCGTGATGTGCTTGCCATGCCTACATGATGCCTAATCGACATTGGGGATATACACCCAGTTTTTTCCTTAACAAATGCGTCCGTCGGCGCGAGGGTTTTTTCCCGGCTGGCTCGGTCCAGGAAAATTAATCTGACGGTCCCAAGTGGTTCTGCATCATGGCCTATTTCTGCTATCCACTGGCACGCCTATTCTATCTGAGACACTCTGTTCTCAGTCCTTGCTTCCATACCTCACTCGTTATCCGGTTCACATCTGGCTGCGGCCAACTACCCTTCACTTTGTGTGTTGTCGCTATTGCTGTCTATGTCTCTGTGTATGCCAGTATATGTGGAGCGAGAAAATTAGTACATTTTTAATTTATTATACCTTCAGTGCACAATATTACCGGGCATGGAAAGCGATATTAGAGTTGTAGCACTGTCAATCTCACTACACTCGAACATCTCTTATCCAGGCGCCTTGGGACTGGGCACTGCCCGTATCTCAGGATAACTCAACTATCATAGTAATTATACCATATCAGTTTTGGGATGAAGTTTATCTGGCACGCACATGCCCAGGATAAAGAAAGAATCCATTGATGAAAATGTGTGGATTACACAAGTTGGCAGTGACAAGTCAGCACTTGTGCATACGAAAAAGAGAAAAAAAAGGTTCAAAATCCCCAAATAATAATTCGAAGCAGTTTTGCCATAGGAACTCGAGCTGGAGGTGTCCGGTAGAGAGACGCGCCCGTACCCGAGGCGTCCGGATGAGAGACGTTTGAGCGTGCAACTAAACTTGAGTCATCACACTGCACATACTTGTGTCTCATTCCACCACGCCATGATTCATGATACGCCGCACTCTCGGCTGACCTGCTGTACTTGCAAACTACAGCCAATACAGCCAATACCTACAGCCAATACCTACAGCCAATACAGCCAATACAGCCAATACCTACAACCAATACAGCCAATACAGCCAATACCGGTCGACTATTACTAGATGACGAGGAGACTGACCAATAAGGCACTTGACAATGCGCTCCAACTACAACTCGAAGCAGCAAGACAACGCATCACCCAGCTAACTACTTGGCGGGGTCGGAAAAATCAAAGATTGATGCTGAAGGTGGAAGCTTTGCGGAAACGAAATGTACAAAACGAAACGCAAATGCAAAATGCATCAATCCAGACAGGGATCACCATAGCTCGTCCAGTGTTTTGTTGTTGCTCATCCACCGGAAAGTGTTTCGTTTTTCAAGTATCATTTGGTTGTTTGTGTTATGTGATAGCACTGAATTTTTTTGCCAGTGTAGGTTAAATAATATTGTAAGTCAACAAAATTAATATTCAGCGCACATTTATTTTCGGCTATTTTCGGCTATGGCGTATTTGGCCGAAAATTTGTTGCGGCCGAAATTTTGTTTTGCAAGGTTCAGTGTGAGAGTGAGTACAGGCCGAGAATTTAATGTGGCCGAAATGTGTTTTAGCCCTGGGAGGCCAAATTTTGAATAGACCCAAAAATTGTAGACTTACAGTACTCAATCTGCAGACTTGCAGTACACTATTTCCCCTATTATAAGTCGCACTCAATTATAAGTCACTCAATTATAAGTCGCACCCCCATTGTCAGGTTTGAGCCATATTGATTTGATATATTGACTTCAGTAGTAAGTCATGCTCGATTGTAAGTCCCACCCCCTGTTTTACCCTAGGATTTTGGTGTACAAAGGTGCAGTGACTTATATTCGGGGAAATACGGTACATGTTTTTTTCTCCTCTGTCGTACAGTCTCAGCTTCGCAATCGGCTGGCTTCAGACCTGCTCAGTACTGCAACGCAGGCAGCGGCAACAGCTGCGCAGGGTACTGCAGTTCATCCTACGTCACGGCGCTCAAGGCACCATGGTGCAGCGGCATCGTCATCGGCAGACAGCGCTGCTGCCGATCAGACACCGCTCAATCAGAAACTTTCCGATGCCCTGCTCCGTGAGCATCTTGAAGCAGGCGCCTACGACTACACACTGTCGGTGTTCATGGCTGAATGTGGACAGAGATATGAGCAGGTAGTTTGTGAATGGCAGGGTGTGCAAATCTCATTGCAGTGTAACTAGCCAGTAGATATACATGTAGGCCTTGTTGGCATGCTCTGAGGTGTTGAGATTGGCAGAGCTAAACTTAGACAATACGAAGGATCTAGTCTTGATACTGAATTGGTTTTCCATGTCAATTGTTGTTCATGGTGTGCAGTAGGGTATTCTTGCGATAGTTATGCAAGTGCAGTTGACAGCGTGTCCACTGGGTGCTTTGCAGCTCCGGTATTGCAAGCACCGAGGTGTGCATTGGAGAGGCAGTGTAGCTGAATTCATTGGCACGGTTGCTGTTTACTTGCCCAAGCTGCACATTTCAACTATCCTTTGTTCTTCAGAGGGGTACTGAAGAATTGAGCAGGCAAATCAGTTTGACATGGGGCTGCCCTTAGATTTTTTCTTTTGCTGTAAGAAGTTGCATTCTTGGCTGCATCTTGGTTTTTCAACAGTTCCTGGCGCTGAGTGATGTCCGGAAGCTCCTGGGTCTTCCCGATGGCAAGACACGTTCACGTTCTGCTAGGAAGGTATGGCGATGAACGTGTTGCGGATTTTAATTTACTTGTGTACGCAATCTCCGAACATAGAAGTTTGAATGTGTTAAAGTGTATGCTTGTTTGTGCATATTTGCATGTGGACGTGCTTTCTTTTTGAAGTTCCGTTGACCAACGAGTAATATTAACTTGTTATGACAGTGTACTGTATCCGATGCATTGATTTGTCATGTCCGAGATCCTGAAACTGCCAAAGTTATTTCTATTGGGTTTATTTGTTGTAATTTTTCTGTTGTCTACAACAGGCATCCAAGTCAAAGTCAGGCAGCAGCCAAGCAAAAGGTAGCCCTGGGTATTCACGTATTTGCTCGCGTCCTGTTGTGATCAGAATATTTTCTGCGTCTCACAACTTGCCGGTACATGTACACTCGGACGTCTCTTATCCGGGCACCTTGGGACCGGGCACTGCCCGTATCTCAGATTTTCCCGTATCTCAGGATAACTCATCTACCATGTATCATATCATGTTTTTAAAGATGTTTATTTGGCACATATTGCACAAATTGCACATATTCAAGATCCAAAAGAATCCATTTATAAAAATGTGTGGATAACACAGGTTGGCAGGGACAAATATGAATTGGCGCATACAAAAAAAGTTCTAACCACCAAACGTGAAGCATTTTTGCGATAGGAACTCAAGCTGAAGGTGCCCGGTAGAGAGACGTGCCCGCATCTGAGGCGTCCGGATAAGAGATGTTTGAGTGTACATGTATGTGGACTTTGCCGGAGAACTTGATGGCCTCAATGGGCTTGAAGCAGCAACTATTTGCAAGGTGAAGCATGAGCTTCACCTTTCCGGGTTCAACGCCACTTAAATGGCAACTGGGTACACTCCTAAGAATCGGTGCCATGGAGACAAGGGCTTTTATTATATCAATGAAGAATGTTAGTGAGACACGTGTCCACCTCACTAATACTATTCACCGCTCTAATAGAGCTCCTAAGAATATTGGATTGAACTGGGTCAAGGCCAGTCATTTATACTCATGATATAATACATGAACTTTGAGTACTGGTGAAGTACTTACCTCCCAGTACTTCTGACCTTGAGTTGAGTTGATGGTTGGCTTGTCTTTCATGCTCTCTTGTTGACACAATCGTCGATCCGGATATGGGCTACGGAGTGTTTCAACAGACTATGGAATAAAGCAAGGTTCAGGCTCTTTACGATCCAGAAAGTGTCTTCTTGCCTTTTCTTCAGGTGAACACCAGCAGAAGAAGATACTATCCAGTACATTACTCTTTTAAAACAGTGTTCAGGTGATATGTTTTGGAGGTTGTCACACAAGAAAATCAAACGTTTGCAAGCAGTAACGGAAAAAATTGCGCTGAGGCTGTTAGGTAGGACACCCGCACATTTTTAGTTTTGTTCATGTGTCGTCTATTGTTATCACAGTGCATATCACACTGCCGGATTACACCTCTTCACACATACATCACTAGTGCATAGCTGTAGGAACTGTTGTCTCTATGTGAATGAGAATCACTTTAGGACGCCCACAAACTGTTAGTTTGGTTCATTTGTCGTCTTTTGTTATCACAATGCAAATTGCGCCGATCACACCTCTTCACACAGTCATCTTTAGCGCATAACCGTGGAATTTGTTATGTTTCTACAAGTATGTGAGCAATTTTACAAATCTCTTTTGCTCCGTTTTGTGTTTGTTCTCGCTTATCAACCTGCTGCTTATAACACCTAAACCTTGTTTTTAATTAAAGAGTATTGAAGTATTGGTGAGCTTCTTCTTCTGCCAGTATCGACCTGAAGAGAACTGAGGCAATGAAAATGCGTGTGGAAACTTTGTTGTGTTTATTGTAAAGAACCTGAAGCTTGTTTCACTCCCGAGTCTGATTACATTTCTGTCTCCAAGAAGACTACTTAAGCGCTTTGTTTATGAAACTGCTTTTGCTATGCCCATGACATTCTTTGTCTCAAATCTCAAAATAAATCATATTGAACTGGTCTTTGTTGTGTACTCGCAAACTAAACATGCAGCAAAAAAACTAATGCTGTGCAATGTTGTATTCCCTCTGCTGTTGTTGTAGACTGTTTAGGTGAGCTCATCGAGAGTGCACTCCAGCGCCATGCCACTCAGAGGTCTTCGCAAGCCACCCAAACCGAGGAGGCTCCACGCAAGCAGCTCGGTAGGTGGTGCTGCTGCTGCTTGTCGAAACCCTTCTTGCCATGTCTCACAGCCATTTCAGTTCAGATGGGTGCGTGTTTTCAAAGATTTCGAAAGATCAAGAATGGCATTCTAATGTTGCTTTACCTGTATCGTACTGCCTGAAATACTCTAGCCATGGCATGCATTCTTGAAATCGTGATAACACGGGTATTCAGATATTATCTGAGGTTGACATCATGCTCTATAATTCAATTCTGGTATACAGAGGAACGAATGGCAGATCTGGAGGTTTCTTTCAACCGACGCCAATCACTGCTCGAGTCAGGTGCTGAGGAGCAGATGCTGTCGTTCCAGAATAAATGCCGCCAACAATGCCAGGAGGAGCTGCGGCGTTATGTAAGTACTGTGCTGTCGGTAGCCGAAGAACTGGGGGGTCTGCCTCCTAGCCTAGACCGGTCTTATTTTCATGTACTGTATTACAGTCTATGCACAGTTGAGTAACTGTGTATACATTCAGGGGCGTCGGAAGGTATTTTAGTGTGGTACGGTCAGGCATTCGAAGTACAATTTACTCGTGGGGAAGTGGTGGCTGAGCCGAAAATTTTGAAAATTTATATCCCAGACCCTGAGTGTATTCTATTGATTCACGGGGTACCTGGGGCAAAAAGTGGTACGGTCAATACCGTAGTGACCGTACCGTGTCCGACGCCCCTGACATTGGTATGCTGTGCTTGGTGAAATTCTAGCCTGGTTTTTTCGGCTCTCCGATCTTCGGCGTCTGACAGTACTCACGGCTGTTTTTTTGTGCGATTTCACGCCACTTAACAATATGGCCGCCGAAAGTCTCGATTGGGCTTCAATGGCAAGAAAATTTGAATTTTCAAATCGTCAGAACACGAGTAGGCCATGGTTTACCCTGGATATTGGAGACTAGTCAGCCCGGACAGCCCGGGGAACACGCTGATCAGCTGCGTCTTGTTTCAAGCTTTCCGCTCGTACCTCACATGACTGCCTTTCCTTCAAGAAACATTTGTTCTGTGTCGTACGACTTTGGCTTCGTTCTGGAATACTCCTTGTGTCGTCGCTGACAAACTCGGCTCCGAGAAGCCCTTCCCGATTTTTTCCCAGCTTAGATCGATTTTTTCCCAGGTAGAGGACTATCCTCTGGTTGTCTTCCCCAAGTGTCATTAGAATACGCGCGTGAACTTCTAAATACGCGCGACGAGTCAGGAGCCTGTTTTCTCTTGATTTGGAAGACAAAATGGTGTGGCCCTTTAGTTGCTGTTGAGTGTAGAAGGCTGCTTCCTGCTGTAAATTGCTTAGTCGGCATGTGGGATATTATAGAAGAAGACAGCAGCCGGCCAAGTGAGCTTGAAATTGTGATATCTACCCTATTGTGCGTTGAACGATTACGAAATGTCTAACTTGAATGTTGTACACGCGAGCACGCCAAGCAGAGGCTGACAATCACTGGCGAGATCAATCTCCAGACTGCCAGGAGTACTTCGAGCAAGTTTGAAGCGGAAAGACAGCTAACTGGGCAGGCCAGGACGCCTTTCCACCCTCTTTCTCTCTCAAATTGCCGAAAAGTCGAGTATCTCGCTCGAGCGCTTTCAAAACTTTTCACTTGGTTTCGCGTCCCAAATCGTGGAACCACGCGAGGATCGACATGAGTTTCTTGCAAAAACGCAAACTCATCGCGTATTTGTACTATTCGCACAATGTTACATAAATCGCACCGAACGACGCCATATTGATAAGTGCCTGTACGTGAACAGCCGTGTACTGTACTATACAGCTGTTATGCGTGTATGTCTTGTTTAAAGTGTCATAAATGCTGTTTTGCTCAACCTGTATACCTGATGGCAAGACTGGGACCAGCTAATGAGTTGTATTTGAATAACCACTACATTGCTTTTCTTCGATATTTGCTCATCCATTCCATTCTTGGGTGTTGTACGCTTAGAAATCCCAGTTTGCAGCGACCGAGCTTGCCAAGATGCAGCTGGAGGAGCGCAAGAGATATGATGACAAACTAAAAGCAATGCGCCAAGAGGTATGTCTCACAGTTGTATTCTGGATCAATGGATCATGCATAGTTTTGCAAAGAATAAGCTGACATTGGTGATGCTTTAGTGACCAGTACCTGATTTTGGTGAAAATACACTATTGGTGGCTCGGTGCCTACTAGTGCTCAGCACGCTGCCACTCAGTCAACATTGGGTTAATTACCGTATTATCTCTAATATAAGCACAGTCTCCAATAATAGCACGTCTCCAATAATAGAACACCTTGGGGCGGCACTCAAAAAACAAAGTGCTCAGTCTCCATTAAAAGCACACTGTGTAAATTCATTATCTGTACCGGCGAAAAAAAACCTAAAATGTGTGTGTCTGACATGAATTTGGCATGGCAACATGCCTCTGAAATGAGGTTGAAATAATAATGGAACAGTCTCCAATAAAGGAACGTCTCCATTAATAGCACGGGGCGGAGGTACATTGAAAAAATAAAGGACCGTGCTTATATTAGAGATAATACGGTATTTAAAAAAAAAATAACCTGGAGCCAGCTTTCTACCTGTGAAAATATTCCCAGTGTGCACAAGGTCTAGGGAAAGTGGTGTGCACAAGGTCTAGGGAAAGTGGTGTTTTTTTGTTTTTTTTTACAATGATCACAGCTCACAGGCAAAGACAAAAAATTGCATAGTGGGAGCATAGTGATGGTGAGGCTTTTTGCCCTCAGCCGACCTGAGGTCTCGACGTCATGGGGACATAAAACGCACCAAAAAAAAGAAGAAAAATGAAAGGAGTGACAGGTACATGATACGAAATGTTAGGAGGAGAGACAGTACATTAGAAGGAGGGGAATGATAAGAAAGACAGTGCTAGGAGGAGAAGGAGAGAAAAGAAGAACAGACGTTATTGGGAATAGTATGTGGAGCGGAATTTGGAAGTCATGGGGTGAGGCAGATATGATGCTGATGATCAGAGATGGTCATGTGCCCACGACCAGTCGTTGGTCTTCAAATAGCGGTTGGCTGCAACTTTGAAGTGTTGCAAGTTCTTGGTGCAGAAAGGACCAGAGAAGACTCCGGCGGGCAGCTGGTTCCAGACGGGGACAACTGCGTGAGGGTAGGCTCGACACAGGTTGTTGCGGGAACGGACTGGAAGTTCATTGGCCAGTTGGTGTGCGTGAGCATTACATCTCTGGAATGTACTACGGGTGGAGTGGACTGTTCGGTGTTGGGGCTGCTGGGGTGGCAGCATCCTCTGTAGAAGGGGATGCGCATCCGGACAATGCATCTTGTACAGGAGGCAAAGTGCTGCAACCATCCGACGAAGAGCAAGACTTGGCAGCCAACACATTGGGGCGATGGCACGGATGGCCCGGGCTTGCACACGGTCGAGTCTTGCAAGATGGGATGGGGCCGCTCCCATCCAGACAATAGGGCAGTACTCCATCACTGGGCGCACAAAAGCATTGTAGGCTTGGATGCGACCGGGCACGTCTAGGAGGTGGAAAGCCTTACGCAAAGCACCAAGTCGCTGTGTTGCCCGGAGGGCTACGGTACGAAGGTGGCGCCGGAAGGTAAGCTGACCATCGAAACTGATGCCCAAGATTTTGAGCTCCTCCTGTTCCGTCACATTTGATCCGTTGAAGTCAATCGGTGGCATGTCCCATTGGGTGCGGTGGAAACTGACGGTCAGTGCCTGGGATTTGGCTGGTTCAAATTTTATTTTCCATTCTGGACCCCAGCGGGAGATGTTGTTGACTGCTAGCTGGAGGGCTTGGTGTGCACAAGGTCTAGGGAAGTGGTGTGCACAAGGTCTAGGGAAAGTGGTGTGCACAAGGTCTAGGGAAAGTGGTGTGCACAGGGTCTAGGGAAAGTGGTGTGCACAAGGTCTAGGGAAAGTCCCAGTGTGCACAAGGTCTAGGGAAAGTCCCAGTGTTTCATAACTCATCTCTATTATTAGACTCAGGTGGAGAGCCAAGGATAAATGTGTAAGAAGAAAATAGGACCAGAGAGCCGTTGGTCAGTGCCGTGCAATGTTATCGCATGAGCTGATTGTAAAGTAACTGGTGGTGTTAGTTGATACTATAGGATAACTTGCAGCTCTTTGGTCCTCTTTTCTACATCTCTATAATCCTATTATTTTGTGTTTAGTGGGCTATTCTGTTCTACCTGTAAAGATATTCCCAGTGTGCACAAGGTCCGGGGGGAAGTTATGTTTCCCAACTGATCTCTATTTTTCTCTATTGGGCTATACTGTTCTACCTTCCATCCAGTATGAGCAGCAACACCGCAACAAGATGCAGTCCATGCACATCCAGGAGCAAGAGGCATCGCTCATGGTGAAGAAAAAGCAGCAGGTTAGGGGCATCATATACCGCCCTAGCCTATTCCATATGAGTGCGATTGTTGTGCATTCTCTTCATGCTGAGTATTGAGTAGTGAAAACTGAGGCCAGCTCACGATATCAGTTGTGGTTACTGCCACCCTACATATTATGGTATTTCATTATTGCTGGCAGTAATATGATGACCCAAGAGATGTTGAATAATTACCTAAGTAAGTATTAGAGGACGGAATCTTTGCTGGCTCTGGCATACATGTGGCTGTGTATATGCGTGTGATGAGAGTTCAGCTCCCGTCATTCCTGTGTAGCTGTTGACATATTTGATATGGTGCTATCTAGTCACAACATCGTTATCTATCAGGCTACATACAGAGTCAGTACAATGTGCGGCCAGTCGGTGTGTTGTTACTGGTGCCACTTCATGTAACCAACTACATTTCAGGTGAAGAGGCGTAACTAAAAAATTAATGGCTGTAACCTGTTCATCAGGATTGTAGCAGGCCCACTTCTGGTATTGTTCAAAGTAGCAGTACAAATTGGTCAAATAGCGACGGCTGTCTGAGATGTAACACCTGTCTCCCTTGGCTCACTGGTATCTTTCTACAACATTATCTTTCTGCTGTAGGAGCTGGAAGGCGAGCTATATCAGCAACGCCAGGCACTGCTCGAACAAATCGAGCATCTGAGAAAGAAAGAAGCGGGGGTGGAAAGGGAGTCTGCAAGTAACGAACAGTAAGCCTATTGCAGCTGCAACTTGGCATTTAGTGGTACATGCATAGCATGATGCCTGGTTTGACCATACAGTAACCAAGTAGTGTACCAACCTGAAACGGAATTTCCCATTGCTCGAGGTGACGTTTTCGAAATGTAGTTTTACTAAATTTTAGTACAAGGAAACTGCCCACACTTGATCCATAATCTTGACCGCGAGGCGTCTCTACTAAGGCAGACAGAGAAGTACATGTAAGAATTACATGTATATAATTATTGCTCAACAGTTACTATACTTCACATATGCATGTAATCAGCTGATGCAAGTCACTGCTAAACTAGCAGATGTACTTGTTTCCATATTGTGATGGCACTGAGCTGCTTTGTTGATAAACATTGATAGTCTGTCTTGTTGATGTTCCTTTCAGGAAGTTGCAGAGCCAACTGACTTCCGTGGAAAGAGAAAGAGACCAGCTGAGCAGGGATCAGCTGCGCTGCAAGCAGGAGAGTGAAACATTCCAGCAGCGTGTACAGGCTGAAGTGCAACGGTACATCACATAACTGCATGATTGTGTTGTCTGCTGCTGCTGCTCCTCTCTGGCGTGGTGCCGTTTTTCCTTGTCAGCTCATGTCATGCAGTTCCGTCACTCCTTGAATACTGTACCAATGCTGCATGGGACACTCCCTCCTATAGTTCATTGATGTTCACAGTTCATGCTTACCCATATTTTGGCATAATGTGTTTGTAAGACAGTGGAGGAATGTAGATATGCTAACTCTAGGTTGTACAACTCACTTTTGACATACGCGTTCATGTACTCTGTTATCTAGATCTCAGCTGCGGTTCGAGCAGGAGCTACAAGAGAAGACTGTTAGACTGGAGTTGGTGCAAGGAACACTGAAAGGTGTGGATTTGTGCCTGCTCTGATTGATCATGCTTCACACAAACTTAATGAGTCAGAAGTCAAGTGCACTGCATCATGCTTCACTTACCAGCAGCATGATCTGTATGATAGGCACACGACATCAGTGGGATTTGCACACCCCCCCCCCCCCCCCCAGTTGCTCATATGCCATAATATAAAGAATGCTTACCAAGGGCTCCTTTTTCAGTTTTCTCCGTTGTTTCTTGCTCCATTGCACTTTGATGCTGTCTATTCACTGTTAGTTTCCAAACTGGAATCCGAGAATTCATAGCAGTATCATGAGAATGGAGCCCTCCATGTACCTGCTCTCTTACAATTTTTTGTTGTGTTCAAATTTTGATTCTCAGAGCGAGATGAGGAGTTGTCACGGCGGGGAAAGACGTTTGAAAAACTCTCATCGGAACTTTCATCCGCTAGAGAAAGACTCCTCGAGACACAGGTGAGACCATTCTTCTTTAGAAATGGATCACGACCAAACAGTTGCTGAATAGATACTGTTGGTCGGTATTAAGTAGTTTGACAGCTAGTGATCAAGCATTTTACTTGGTGCAATACCTTGGTGTATGTCCTGTGCTTGCCTCACCGTTGTTTTAAGACTTAAAACCAATGAAATGACACCACACCAAGTCTCTAGCCCGGAAGCATGTACTTTTCACTCACAGAGCAACTGTTCAGTACATGGGGTAATGGTCTACTACCAGAGCAGTCACACTCGAGATAACGTCGTGCAAACTGTGTCGAACCCCTGTATCCAGTGCATTATGATCACTCTTTGCCACGATGGTGTTGTTGATGTTCTTGTCTTGTTGTCACTGTACAGGATAAGCTGCATAGTGCAGTTGAGAACCATCATCTGACTGTTCAGCAGCGTGACAACTTACAGGCGCAGTTCACCGAGGTAGGCTGCCTAGGGGCAACATTTGTTTGTAGTTGGGTTTTCTGTATAATGTTATGGCATGAGCTGATTGTCGAGTATCTGGTGGTGTTAGTGGACATAATAGCGCAATTTGTAGTTCCTTGGTCCTTTTCTTTGCTAGAAGTTGGCGTTTTGTTGGGCTTTTTGTTAGGCTTTCGAAGTTCTGGCTCTCCATTCCGTCAGTCTCCATCTTCATTGTTTTGATAGCTTGTATGCTGTAGAAGAAGCAAACGATCTGGGGACAAACTTATGTGAGCCAGATAGAACAGCACCAGTATCCATTTAGTTCTAGACTCCATAATTCGTGGCCTGTCTCTCCTACGACACGTCAAATATATCGTTGACGGTTGTTCCGCTTTACTTGTGCAGTGCTAGCCGGTGTGATCTCCAGATGGCAGCTGCAACCTGGTTCACCGCGGAGTCAGCTACTTTAATCTGCCTGTGATAACCTTGTGGAGACTAACCCACATGATAATGGTGATGCTTGTTTTTCATTATGAGGGTTCACGAATTTATCTACCCACTTTTAAAAGAACTAAAATTGTGAACGGTACCATTCGGCTGATTCTTTTAAACCATTCGGCTGATTCTTTTTGAGTTCTATGTATTTCACTTAAGAACTCTTAGAACATTGCTAGAGGTCACACTATGTGTGTGCTGCTATGCTGTCCGTGTTGTCCGTGCAGGTGAAGGACTACGGGATGCTGAAGGAACAAGTGCCCTTGCTGCAACGAGAGCTTGAGTCCGCAAATCAGTATGTTGCTCTGATCGTATGCATGTCGATGTTGTGGCTCTTGTGCGCCATTTCCACCTCACATGACCAGGACAATAAGGGGTACAATAGAGATAATGAAAACTTTGGGAGAGAAAGTATGCACTATCCAATAGTTATGTCTCTAAATCTTATCTTCGGCAAGGACTCCCTGCAAGACCTTGGACAACAGACTATCTGTCCTAAAATGCAAATCTGTTGCAACTTGTTATATGCAAGTTCATAATATCTAATCTCAACGAACATTGTTATGCCTGGGGGAAAGACCACCAAACATGGACAACAATTTGAAGCAAAGGAATCAGCAAAGGATTCGAATGGATCCATTTTCTATGGTATTAACAGTGACCTAAAACTGATGGCATAATCGATATGCTTTAGTGTACTGTAGATGCAGTGATGTAGCTTGCGAGTTATCCTTGAGCCATCTCCAGGCATTGTTTCCCTGGAAACTGCAGTCGATGAATTCCACTGGTATTCTACTGCAGTATCAAGCTGTATGCTCAACACTCGGTGCATCTTACCTGTGCATCGGATGTCTTCTTGATTTCACAAATTGTACTTGCATGCCCTTTTCGTGCTCGTCTTGTACCACAGGAGAGCTGCCGATGCCAGGGATGCATTGCGTCAACAGCAGAAAGGTTCGTATACAGTCATGTACATGTATTGTGTTCTACGAGTACAACTTTTGGTATCTTACCAATATCCAGATTGTTAAGGGTCAGCAGCTTCCCATTCCATTGAACAGCAGCCACTCTGTACATTCCACTAGTTGCAAGGAGCACTACAACCAGGATCAAGGGGAGCCATTTCCACTCCACACAACCAGCTGACTGCTTGCAGCGTCATGGGAGTCATTGAAATGATCATGATTTTTTTCGTTGTCAATCCCAGCATAGCGCATCCTTTTCAACTGGCTACCATTGACCGGCTCAAAAGATACTATTATCACTTTTCTTGATGTATCTTTCCTCTTCTCTGATAACCAAACAAAAATTAATCCAGGACAGGGATTAACTACCTCAGTAGTTACGTGAACATGTGACAAGTGTTAACTGAACACCACATGACTGGACTTGGCTAGGGGCACGGAAAAATGTCAAAGCCACGCTTGCCTCTTGATCTCCATGCCCTGAACATCTTATCACCTTACTCATGTTGTTTAGATAATGCTATGCTATTAATGTACACACAGGTCACCAGAGTATCGTGAAGGAGCTGAGCACCAAGCTATCCTTATCCTCGCCGGAGGTGGCACTGCTGAAGGACGAGCTGCAGCATGCCAAGGATGAGAACCAACGGCAGGCCATCATCGCCAAGGAGACGCAGCAGATGCTTATGCAGCGTCTCCAGCATGAGGTCAGGACCCTGATTTTTGTTAACAGTCTATGCATGTAGCATTGCTCCCGCATCACTTGCTACTGCATTCCATGGTGGGCATGGGAACTTGCCGCAACTTCCTGGTTATTTCCAGAATAGCATTAGCACACTGCTGATTACATTACCTTTGCGGCCCATGCAGTATTCACATGCATTGTAGGACAGTCTGTACTCGTTTGTCATGCATTGCCATGGCGACTGTACCTAGAATTAGCATATGTGTGTCTGTGTGTGTGTGTCTATGTGTGTGGGGGCATGTGTGTGTATATATGTGTGTGTGTGTGTGCCGGTGTGTGTGTGTGCCGGTGTGTGTGTGTCTGCGTGTGTGTGTGTGTGGGGGGGGGGGTATCTAGGGGTATGTGTGTGTGTATGTATGTGTGTGTGTGTATGTGTATGTCTGTGTATGTCTGTGTGTGTGCCCGCGCGCGCGCGCGTGATTGGATGATTATTTACAGGCTGAGAGATCAGGAGAAGCGGCGCGGCAGATCCAAGAACTTCAAATTCGTGAGAAGGTGTTGCAGCTAGAGATTGAGGACCTGAAGAAGCTGCTGTCCCAGGCGGAATCGGGTAGGAAACGTTGAGACTGGTGCCGACCTATTTTGAGTGTGTGCATACACGCATCTTTGATTCCGTGACTTACCTACTTTGAAGTATTAGTGTCATATCACAAGTGAAAAAAGGAGAAGGACAAAAATACCACGAGTTATGATCATAAGTGGTCATTTATAAAGTGATTTTTCTTCTTTTCTTCTTTTTCCCTTTTATCTGCCAGCAATGGCTCGACCAAACTTTGCAGATACAAGGTTTCGAGGCTCAAGCTATGCTCATAAAAGGTACTTTTGCAAGCTATGTATGTATCACATGATGTCTTTGAGTGGTATTCGTGGACAGCAATAAGTTGAAAACCACTTAGAGAAGCACTCAGAATGGCAGATTGGAAATGTTCCCCAAATACACTTCACATGTTCCTATCCATGGAGGAGAGGTTGCTGGATCCAATCCTGGAATGTTCGGATTTGCGACATTTCGATATTTCGACCACTCCTAGATCCACACAACCTTGATGAAAGTGGAACTACTGTAGCCAGGAAAGTAATGGGGACCAAAATCAATATGCCGCTTGCCTTGAAATGGGCATCACCGACACCCCTATTTCCATAATTCATGACATGACCATGAAGCACACTATTTTACCCTTTATTCCCGAAGCTATGCAAAAGACGTTACTTTAGTAGCATTTGGCACTAGCCAGGGTCCACACCGCTGTATATGTACCTGTGTGTGTGTGTGTGTGTGTGTGTGTGTGTGTTTGTTTCTTTCTTTCTGGCGTTCGGCATGCATGACGCTATCCCATACATGTCCCGTACTGTACCCTCAAAGACAGTTGGCTACCATATTCGAATAAAGCTGTCAACTACAGGATTATTCCGTGAAGCAACTTGGAAGAATGTGTATGTATGCGAAGTGTATCGAGGGAATGCATGCAGGGCGATAGTGCGGGTTCGAACCCCAAGTTATGTGTTGAAAAATAGGAAAAATGAAAACTTTATATGCTAGCACCGTAGCGTAATAGTAAAATAACTAGCTTGGTAGAATGTACCTGTCTGGGAGCCCAGGAGCCCTCGCTATGCTTTGTTTTTACCTAGGTCGTCATGTGTGTTGTTCGAACTGATAGAAACGTCTTTGCAATACGATCATCGAGCACATGTTTTTGTATTGTAAAGACGTTTCGAACAACACACATGGCGACCTAGGTGAAAACAAAGCATGGCGAGGGCTCCTGGGCTTTCAGTTCCCAATTAGGGACTCGACTCTGACAGCATAATGCTGGTGCACTCTTTAGTTGGGTCTTCCGACCTCCCCCCCTTAGTCTTATGCCCTTACCTCAGTCCAACACTAGCTGAGGCGGAGGGCATCTACCATTGGTTTGTTCACTAGTGCTGAGTTTCCATTTGCTATTGAATTTGTATCAGTGAGTCCTTTGTATGCCTGCATGTTCGTACCACATGCACAGTCTGGCCCAACCGTACGGGAACAACACCAGCGAGACCAGTGGTGATGATTCAGCAGCGTGGGTAAGAAGCCACAGGAAATCGGCCCACAAACACGCCAGCATGAGTAAGCCATCCGTGCAACAGGCGACGTTGACCACAGTGCCAAAGCATGTGCCACGGGCTGAAGTTTCGGACGTGAATGACGATCTCTCCGTCTCAGATCACTGGTCTCTACACAGGGATTCTGTGTCACATCATCAGTACTTCAGGCAGTTGGAAAGAGAGGCTGAGGTGTGTTCAAGAACCTTTAGGGTACTACTCTCCTTTATAGTCAAGGGTGGGTGTGGGGAGAAATACTTTTAGTAGAACCAACGGCGTGGATATTCTTTTGCTAGGTGACAAACGTGACACGGCTTATGCAGTGATATCATCATGAAGTATACACATCTGGCTGTGATCTAGTTTGATTTAGAATAAGCCCCTTGAATGGGTATGGAAAACGATATACCCAACCCTACTGATGAGGGAGGCATTTCGACATGCAATAACATGTAATGTATGTGCTGGTATCATGCCATAGAAAGAAGCCTGGGAGGACTATTCTGCATGTATTTTATTGTATTTTATCATTCTACTTGTGCATTCCTAACAGACCCTAAGGTCTTCTTACAGGGTGCCCACGGTGCATGTATGTGTTGAGTTCCTGGCGACATGAATTGGGGATATGACTAGTGCGAATGGATTCGGGAGCGCGTTAAAGCAGTCAGCATGGAGGAATGCACTAGATTTGTATCCAGGTTGAGTGTGCACAATGGGCTAATCAACAGTTTGACTTCTGCTCTGTTTTGTCATCTTTTCAGGAGCTTGAGCAGTCCTACAAGGAGTTTGAGCGGCGTCTGGAAGGGCGCAATGCACCAGCAGACATACTGGATTCACGAACCCATGTTACAGTACCACTGGATCCATTACCCAACCCCTACAGTGATTCTATTGGCAAGCCGGCTGGTTTATTGAACAGTGAGCCTAGGTCTGTGCGCTTCCCGCCGAGTCCTACACGGCCTGTGCATTTCAGCAGCTCATTTTCTCGTGATGTTGATGTTAGTTTTATTCCGCACACAACGGTCATTCCTACCACCAGCATGTCTGTTTCACAAGGTCCAGTGTCGACGGCAACCCAGTTATACAGCTCCCCTCCACTCGGAAGATTAAGAGCAGCACAAGCCGCCGCTCCTCTTGATAGTCACAGCCCTCCATCTGGATTATCTCAGTTATCAGCCAGCAACATAGGCGCACACCAAGTTGAGAGCACTGCCAGATTCCGATCAAGACCGCGTATTCCCCCGACAGACACTGCATCTCATGATGAACGACAGCCAACATTGCAGTCTTTGGTTCAACGTGATGTCGCCGGTGCTTTAACGACTTCTCCTGTTCCTAAGTTGTCCACTGGCAGTGTGAAAGCAATGGCTGCTGCAGTGCAGCCCAAGGAACCATCTCTTAGCACCTACGCACGGTCTGCTGCAGAACACAGCGATCCTGTAGATGATACTGGATTACAGTTCCACACAAGACAGGTGGAAGATACACATTCAATGGAGAAACAAGACAACCAGTTGCCCGAGGCAAATCGGCAAAGCAATGCACAAATGGTCCATTCCGATACGGGAGCAGCTGTCAAGCGCCGACCGAAACAAACTGACTCGACCAGGACGGAATCTCAGGATGAACACGCAACCAAGCTGGATAGCGATACATCTATCAGCAGTGCTGAGTTTCAACGTGATAGCACTTTTGCTAGTCCACAATCCCAGCCAGTTGACGGCGATGTGAAAGCCTCAGGTGATGCTGACTCCCTGGCTAGTTCCATCAGTGCATCCAGTCTCCGGTCCACCGCAACACCTGCACTGTCTGTTATACCGACTCAAGCAGCGCTGCGTCCGGCCCAGTCAGGTGGAAACATCCAAGCTGATCCACCCAGCCCTGCAACACAGCCTCTCACAGTTGGCGCCCACCCTGAAGCACCAGTATTGGATGCCACCAGTGACGTTGATCAGGACAGTGTTGATAATTTGCCACAGAAAAACCCAATAGTTGAGGCAAAGCAGGTAAAACCAGCAGTAGAAGCAGCAAGTGATGACAGCGAGTCAACATTAAGCGAACCAGCAGTAGCACTTGATCAGGCCTGGAGGAAATCTACAACGGCCCCTATCCAGGCTCCACAGCTAACTCCTCAGAGCCGACCTACAGCTACGGTTAACCAGCAGCCTGCACCGCAATCCTCGTCCGAGTCACAGACTAACAGCTGCTCCACATCCGTGTCAGAACCAGCAGAAAGTGCTCATGACAGCTCTCTTCCCCAGCTGACGTTACCAACACATCAAGACCCTGCGCCAGCCATTGACACAGGCGACACAGCCAGACTGCAAATGGAGAGGCGGCGCGAGGAACGTCTCCAAAGAGAGCGAGAAGAAGAAGAGCGTCTCCTTGCGGAGCAGGAGGCTCTTGCACAGCTCGAAAGAGCAGAAGCACTTGCACAGGTATGTGGAAGGGTGTAGTGAATTTGCTACTTTCACTTCCTTCATTCCCTCATTCTTTTTCATGTCTACCACAGAGACCTTTTGCCATGGAATCATGATTTCGATATTGGAATCGGAGGTAGTTGCTAAGGAATTTACGGATTTAGAGAAAAGAATTAGCTCACTGCCTTACATAAGATGTATATAGAGGTCATCAAGGCATAGCTTGGAGTTTCATGGCTTGGCAACCAATCATCAGTTCACTGCCTTATACAGCATATTAGAACAGCACTGGGACATCAGTGCTGAATACTGTATAGCAGGAAATTTTCGGACGGAATTTATTTTCGTACGATTTCGTACACGGCCTCTTTTGTACTAAAATTAATTCTGTGCTAAAATTTGTTCACGTGAAATTATGTACTTGTACACTATACATGTGTACATGCGTTCTGCATGCAAACACATGTATTTAGCATGCAGCACTGTACGAAAATATAATCCGCACGAAAGGTCGAAATTCGGCTTTGTCCGAAAATATTTCCGTCCGAAAATTTCCTGCTATACAGTACTTGGATTCCAGCGGGCTGGTTCTTGTGTAGTCACCGTGAGGCCTAGAACTCAGGTTAGGCATTCTGTGAATATTTATTTATGTTAAAATTAACTTGTACAGTATGGCCTTGCACAGTGTTGCTGATGGTTTCATTGACATGTCTAATGCAGGTGGAGCAACCATCATCTGTTGACAAAGGCACGCTGGAAGTCGACGAAGATGTTGAATCATCACTTTCGGAGCTCTCCTTCAGCAGCAAGTCTGCATCCAAGTCATCTCTGCGTAGTTCCGGAGGGGATGGCGGTGGCAGTGGTGGAGGTGTTGACGCCTCCATGCAAGCTTACATGCAGCTTGTGGCAGAGAGAAGAGCGGCAGAGGCGTCCGAGGCACAGGGTGCTGGAGTGGTAAGCCAAGACTCTTGTGTACCAATACCATTGTGCTGCGATTGGAGGAAGTGTTATTTTAAAGGGGAAGTTAAGGCAAAAATTAAAATTTCACCAGTTGTAGTCTTCGGGGTGCTGAGTCGAATGGTCTTGGTCCGAGAAAGCTGAGACGCTCCCTTCCTACTTGAATCCCAATCGAACTCGCGCACTTCCACCGAAACTGGGTGACTGCGCCCTACTAGATGGGGATTTGTATGCAAAATGTCACTAAAAGCGCCGTTTCGTTCTTATAAAAGCACGGATGACCGCGATTGGCCCATATGTTGTAGTCTTTTGGACGCTGAGTCGACTGGTTTTGGTCCGAAAAGGCTGCGATGCAGCGTTCCTCCTTTATTCCCAATCGAACATGGTTGAACAAGTGGTCACGTGCTCCTGGGTGCCCAAATCACCTGGTCACCACGCCAGCAGGCGACAACTTTCACACCAAGGTTCAACTCGAGTTCAACTCGAGTGACAGGACTGCACCCAAAAAAGGTCAAACAGGCTAGTAAGTTGTACCCTGCAGGCACGGTGACCAGCTGACTGGTGTACGCAGGAGCACGTGACCGCTTGTTCAACCATGTTCGATTGGGAATAAAGGAGGAACGCTGCATCGCAGCCTTTTCGGACCAAAACCAGTCGACTCAGCGTCCAAAAGACTACAACATATGGGCCAATCGCGGTCATCCGTGCTTTTATAAGAACGAAACGGCGCTTTTAGTGACATTTTGCATACAAATCCCCATCTAGTAGGGCGCAGTCACCCAGTTTCGGTGGAAGTGCGCGAGTTCGATTGGGATTCAAGTAGGAAGGGAGCGTCTCAGCTTTCTCGGACCAAGACCATTCGACTCAGCACCCCGAAGACTACAACTGGTGAAATTTTAATTTTTGCCCTTTAAGTGAAGGATTTTACAACAGTAAATGGATACTTATCAGCTCTATATCTGACATAAGAAAATTGTGGACATCACGCAATTGCATAATAGAAAGAAATGGGGTCTGTCAACTGATAGCCGCTCATCGTGGTAGGTATTCCATAACGGGCTTCACATGCAAATTGAGTGTTCTCTAGCTAGTGCCCTCCTCCATGATGCAGTAACCCAGGCCACTGACTGAACAGTTGTACTAGTCAGTAGGTTAGCTTTGCAATTATAATCACAACGAATTCTCTTTGTGCCTGCCTTGTTGATAGAAACAGTCCGGCTCAGTGGCACCACAAGCAAAGCCAAGCAGTACTGTAGTTGCTGACCAGGCTCAAGCACCCGCCGCGGCATCATCACCACCAGTAGCAGCAGCCAAAGACAACGAGGAGGTATGGAAGGATCCTGACCATCCTCTTGTGCTAACCAGTTTTGACAACTATTGAAAAGCTGACAGGATCCCTTTTCTAAATGATCTGTTACAACTTGATGTGTCCCTGTGTAGAGATTTCCCATCGTTATTATAGATTAGCAACACAGGCAAAAACGTTTCAACGAACCATACCGGTTTTGGAACAGGAATATGTTGTCTTAATCCTTATTAACACAACAGTCCATCTGTGACTCCCACCCCACATTAAAAGTTCCTTGAGGCATGGGAACTGTGAACTGTAGTAAAATCAGAACAGAATGATAGCTTCTGGGGTCTTGATGGTACATGGGAATTCAGAGCTACTCGGGCTGTGAATAACTACATGCTGCTCCTCAGTGTTACATACGTCGAGTTTTATGTTGTGCATTGCACAGGACTGGAGCTTGCCAGAGGATTCGGTCATCGACAACCTGGGAAGGTGAGCATATCATGCGTGTGTCCTGCCTGTCTCGGACCAACACTATGTCATCCGATGAGAATAAAAACAGTGCATGGATTTGGCTAACAGTTAGAGCTGATTGTGTCAACTATGAAAGTAACTCACCTTTCGTTCAAGTTGCAGTTCTCAACAGCCGTAGATTCTACTGCTGTTGAGAACTTCAACTAGACGTCAGATGCATGCCGGAAGAAGATGGCGTATACCTGTACTTGCCTCCAAAATGATAGCTGGTCGACCTTTTCGGGGAATGCACGGCTGCATATGTGTAGCGGGTGGCTGGTGCATGTCATTCATGGTCATGATGTGCATGCTGAACCTAGGTCGAAATGTTTAGGGGGTTTACGTGCACCCCCCCCCCCCCCTCCCACGTGCATCATCCATTCTTGTTTCTGTCCATTGCTTCAGGTGGCAAGGAGAATCTGACAAGGATGACTCGGAATGGTGAAAGCTAGTACGCTTTTGGTGCAGTACACAAGCTGCACTTTTCCATAGCCATTCCGCACAGAGAAGAGGCACTGATTTGGTAGAATTTGCGGACAAGTCAACCCGATCACACCCACCTGATGATTGTATAGTACTCTTCGAAGAAATAGAGAGGAACTGAAGCAACTTGCAATATACATAGAGAAGTGGTCATACTAGTAATGCAGAAAGGTAGTATTTGTGATATTTTGTTAGTGCACAGGCAGATCTACTGCCTACTGGAGCGGAGATCAGGTGGGCTTTATACAAGGCAGTGCAGTGGCAATTCGGGCTGCACTGCCGCTGACGTGACTGTGCCCTGAACAATGTGGCAGTCTTTATGAATATGAGTTTAATTCTACATGCAACGCCATTGTCATTTCCCTGCCGTACAGCCTGAACCTCCAATATCACACTGTCGTATGCATGGCGTGGTAACATGCTAATCCCGAAACCTGTGGCTGACTTTATAATTTGTTTGAAAAATTCGGCAGGTTGGGTCTTCTTTCTGCTTTGGCCAAGCTGATTGGGTATGTGCAGGAGTACGGTTGTCATGTACTCTTGCCAGGTGTGTGTGTGTTTCTTTCTTCTCTGTCATACCCTGGTTGCGTACTGTGGAGCTGGGGCAAAGATTGGGGTATGGTGAAGATACTACTTAAGTCCTTGAAGGAGATCAACCTGTTCGTGTAGATCTACCAGTCAAGACGGTGGCATCAAAGTAAACAGCTGGTGTCTCCTGCAGTCTTCACCCCTACCCACTACCCAGTATGATCCTGTAACCGTCAAACGCAAGTTCCTGAGGTTTATGACCATGTCAGATGTGTCACACAAAACGTTTGCAACGACACCTGTTTGCCATTGCCCATCTGCCTGCAGGTCCCTATGCTCCAAGCTGCTGCTAGCTTACAACAAAGCGGGCACTTTTACTTCGTTCAGAGGAGCATTGCTGCAATCCGGGGGTGAAAAACTGTTTTCAGCCCCTGCCTGGGTATCCTCGAGCCTCCTCATTGACATGCATACATCATGTACATATCGTCATTCAAATAATTTCTAGCTTCAGAAGCATGATGAAACTGACTCAGGAACGGTTGAGCTCACAGACAGTACGTAGATCTACAGTAGTTGTAGTATCGAGCGCGAGTGCATCCATTGCACTCTGATTTTGTGGTCAGCCTCGCACATCACAGTCATTGAGAGTGAGACTAATGTCGTGGTCCTCAATGAAATCCGGTTCACAGCAATTACCAAGAGTCCATAATCAGGACTCTTGGATAGCGTCCTGTACTTCGACTTATACCAAATGCCACATAACCGTGTTGCTGTTTCTTGCGATGTCAAAATCAGAACAGTGGCCTGATGTAGATCTACGAGTTTCACTTGACACAGCTGGTCGGATCACCCCGAGCGCACGACCAAAATGAAGATGGCCTGATGCCGTGATGGGTCTCGGCTTTTGTTTGTCAGCCTGACGTAGTCTGTTGATTTCACATCGGGCGGCACACAGCTCTCCAACTCTCAGCTGCTCGAGCAAAATCTCTAATAGGCCCCGTGGCAATGTGCAAGATTCCCTCAAACAACGAGAGACAACTGGGCAGGAATGCGCATAATTATGACTCCTGTCACAGTGTCAGGCTAAGCCTAAACAGGCTAAAGTCAGTAAAAACAGACCTTGCAGAGCGACTGAGACTTGAGTTGAGAGACTGTATATGTAGACAGTGCAGTCTAGTGTGGAGTGTAGTCTTGCCAGCAGATCTGTACTTCAGTTGTGGTAGATCTTTTATCTCTACCTGATCTGCAGACTCACCATCGAAGGTCGATACGCAGCCTCGCAGGCTCTAGTCTAGCCTAGGCGTAACTCCGCGCTCACGGCTAGCTGTTTCACGGTGACCTCGGTGTCAGGTCGAATGTATTAATTTTTCGTTCACACTCACATCCTGTCTGCAGTTATGCCTAAACACCAAGACTGAACTGTGATCTCTGACCTTTTGAACTCGCGCAAATACATTAGTATCAACAGAAGTGTTACTTCCCCAAGCCTTGCCAAGGCCACTGAACTTCTGAAGTCTGTGAAAGTTGGCAAAGCCCGCTCGAGAGCTGTGACCGATACTACCGATACCGATGTTACGGTAGTCTTCATGTAGCACCTGGCCCTGGCCTGGGAGTTGTTGGGTTATAAGTATAACTAACTTCCTGGCCTGGTGCCAACTCAGCTGCCAAGCCTGCCATATCCCCATCCTTCTCAGCTCTGGATGACTCGCATGTGCGCAATCTCATGATCAACGTATAATAGTACCGGAGGTGTGAAACTCAGCACCATGTGCTCGTGCAGTGTTTTGGAGCATGCAGTTCGGCGGGCGCCATGCAGGATGTAACGGGCAGGAAGTATCCTGTTCGGAGTGTTCCGCACATACCGGTACTAATAGTAGATCTACACCTAGTAGACTACCTCTACACAATCATGTAGGCTCTAGTCTAGCTCTAGCTGAAGAAGGGAATCGGCCCGGCTGAGAGTTGCGAAGAAGCGGTTGCTGCATGGTTTCACACAAAAGCAACTCACACGTCACGGCAGACACCGCACTGACTCAGTTGTAGTATGAAGGCTTGAAGCAGCCTCTCTGTTCCACTGAACCTCATTCCGGCCTGGGCTTAGGTGTTGTTTATGGAGAGAGAAAAATTCTGAAATGCAAAATGAAGAAGCCGTTTCATCAAAATTTCTTCATTCCCAGTCGTTTCCCCCATGCGTTATTTGAAGATAGGACTGCTAATGTTTCCCAACATCGGCTCGTACAGGTACTCCTGCCACGCTTAGTGGTTACGTATCTGTCGTGGTACGTTCGGGCCCGGTTTATATCTGGCTTTGGAAAAATTATTTTTCATTGCTACTGGGTTCGGCCTCATTTTCTCTGTGTTGCGCTGATGAGTCCACAAAGGACGAAACAGTTCTGTCCGCAGATTGAGTATCTGTCGTGCTGTGTAGTCGCGACGCTAGCGCTGCCTGGAACTTACAACTGTAGCTGATGCCACACTCGTTGTCAACACGAGCCGTATCATTGCACCCTAGTGTGACAGGAAAGACGCTAGTGCCTTTATTGGTAGTCAATTTCTGCTGTATCTTTAGGTCGTTGTGGCCACTGCTGTTCACCTGTCTTTGACCGTCCTTCCCCGAGCTCTTGAGTCGTGTGACCGTATGTCAAGGCGGTAGTAAAGCGGCCGACTGTGGCCAGGTAGGATTTCCCCGAGCTGCGACGAGAGCCCAGCATGCCTAACCTCAAAGAGAGTCGCCGAACGCTTGCCTGTCATTGACCCAGATATCATCAATCACCAGATGCTGGGGACAACGTGGTCCAGGGCTACCGTTCTGGTTCATTCATCTCGCACTTCTTGCTGGTCTCAGCTGACGTCTCCACGAATCCCTTTCTGAATTTGCAGATTTGCTATGCAAAGCGAAGCGAAGCGAGCGGACACAAGGCACACTTTTTTCTGTGGTGAATCTGAAATTCTGCGAGCTGAGGTTTCCTGTCCTTACTTGTGGATACGGAATTCGGGAAAGCGATGGCTGCCGTCCGTGGGCGGCTGTTGGTCGCCTTTCTGCTATCGCTAGCTTGTGCAACCGGTGAGTAGTATTGTTACTAGTTAGTGAACATCCTGTTTATCCAAACAAACGGAGTCTCCCGTTTCGTACGTAATGGCATTGTGTGGTGATGTGGGGAATTGGATGAGAAGGGCAATACTCGTGCATGCGTAGCAGCCTTTTTTGCTGTCTTGAGCAAGGGAAAGCACCTCTGGGCCTGCCATTAGATTGAATTTGTTGTATGAATATTGAAGGTTGAAGATGTGCATGCTTAGTGACTTTTTTCATTGAGTGAGACTAACCACCACAAGAAGTGCAGCTCGACACTTCACAGCTAACCAATACTGTCTAGATCCTAGGTCTGGCTCAGTGAAAAATATTAATTTTGATCTACTTCACTATCTACATGCATAATGATCAACTTGAAAGGCCAGGAGCCCTCGCTATGCTGTCTTTTTTCTTAGGTCTTCAGTTGTGTTATTCAAACTAATAGAGCCGTCTTTGCAATACGAATATCGGGCACATGTTTTTGTATTGCAAAGACGTTTCTATCAGTTTGAATAACACACATGGGGACCTAAGTAAAAACAAAGCATAGCGAGGGGAACTGGGCTTTCAAGCCCTCTTGTTACCAATATTATAGTTTTAGAAATGAACTTTAGCTCATAAACACCCATAGATACATAACTTAAGTTAATCTAATTCCCAGATAGGTATAATTATGTACATCTTTCAATTCTGAACACATAACACGCTGCATGCATACCCTCGATACACTTCGCATGCATACACATCACACCAAGTTGCTTCACATTATCATCCTGCCATTGAAAGCCCTATTTGAATATGGTGGCCAGCTAGCTCTCTTTGACGGCACAGCACGGGACACGTACGGGATAGCGCATGATACATGGCGCGTAATGGGATGATGGCCCTACCACACACACACACACACACACACACACACACACACACACACACACACACACACACACACACACACACACACACACACACACACACACACACACACACACACACACACACACACACACACACACACACACACACACACACACACACACCACACACACACACACACACACACAAACAGAATTAAAGCACACACACACACACACACACACACACACACACACACACACACACACACACACACACACACACACACACACACGCACGCACAAACAGAATTAAAGCACACACACACACACACACACACACACACACACACACACACACACACACACACGCACAAACAGAATTAAAGCGCTATGGACCCTGGCTAGCGCCAGGCGCTACTAAAGTTACGCTTTTTGCATAGCTTCGGGAATAAAGCACAACTTCTTACCAACCTAGACAAAAGCACTGCAGGTCTTGCATTTGAGATGTCTATTTGCCTGAATGGTGAGAGAAAGATCAAGTGCAAAGTTCAGCTGTCACAATTCTATGATGTGCGGTGCTGTACCGTCTGTAACGACATTGATAGGCAACGTGAGCAGTTAACCGAGATGCAATCCCAAGGGAGGTTGCCTCAATGACAGTTGACACGCATGTTTGCCCTGCTCGCCATAGTCAGCAGAGATACTGACTCTGTTACCCACTGGCATACAACATATGACCACAGCCATTATGGTGTCAATATGTAATGCACACTTGGCTCCTGAGCCATGTGGTAGCTACACCGGATGTATTGAAGAATTCTGGGATATACATCATGTACACCATATGTCACTCTCCGACTTGTGTCCTGACCGTTGTCCACTGTAGCTCTGGGGTCGACAAGACATCGACGTGCTGTACCAGGTAAGAGATGTAGTGCAATAGTGGACGATCCTCGCAAAGAATGTTGAACTTTGCTGGAAATTGGCCGTATTTGGTGACGGTGGTAATGTCCACTCCTACCAAACATATGCTGAACAAAATTCTGCTCGTTGATGCTGATATGTATGGCCCATGGCCTAACATCTACTTGTAATTGATGCACTATAGTTATAGACACTAAAGCAGTGATTTGAAAGTCATTGGCATTACAGTCAAGGGTACCGAGCGTTCATCCGGTGGCCAAAAGTAATAGATAGATGCTGTTCATAAATGCTTTGAGCAAGGTGGAGTCCTGCCTGCATTTGTATTACTATATATTTTCTGTAGAATGAAGTTGAAGACACCACTGCAGCTGTACTTATGGTTGATAAATATGGTGGTAAAGACACACCTGGCAATATGGCGGTAAACACACACCTGCCCACACACGCTCTCTTTGCTCTCTTTGCAGCTTAGAGAGCGTGTGTGGGCAGGCGTGTGTTTACCGCCATATTGCCAGGTGTGTCTTTACCACCATATTTATCAACCATATATTTTCTGTGGTGGCACAAACTGTATATCTTCATGGTGCGGCTTGCTTCTACTTTGAACAGACCATTGCAGCCTACCTCCCACCCGTGGACCATGTCGAGGATCGTATCGGAGATTCTACTATGACGTGTCGTCGCGAAGGTGCATGCCCTTCAACTATGGTGGCTGCAAGGGAAATGCGAACCAGTATTCTTCGGAACGGTCCTGCGCTTGGGCATGCGAGAGGTTCAGTAAGTTGAAAAATCAGCCACACATGTATACCAGGAAAAGCACTTGTATTATTGTGCAATGTATCCATGGTGATGAGGGGAGAGGAGAGGTATGAGATAATTTGCTACTAGTTAAAAGAAAGGTTCATTTTTTATTGTGACGTTACGTAACGCATGCTGACAGGCAAGTGTGTATACCCGTATAGTGTGCACCCGTGGCTGATTTGCACGACACAAGGGTTCAGATTTTGTGAGTGATTTGGCACTGTGTGATCCCCAAAGCAAGAGATATCACAATTGCCAGCTCCACGGCACACGCTGCTAACAGTATTCATCGCTCTTTTTTGTTCCTGTTGTTTTAGTTGATCCTGATGTAGTTCGTCCGCCATTGCAAGGTACACTAACTGCAGTGCTCATATTCATGATGACTGAACACATGTATACATGTATATGACTAATTAGAAGACACCCGGTACTGATTAGCCTGATGTGCCTGAACAATGTTTACATTTTGCTAAGCTAGTAAGAGTGTGCGTGTGACTGAAATCAAGCAAGTGTGGACGACCATTTTGCAAACTTAGCCAACACATTGAACCGTACTCCCATGCAACCTATGAATACTTTTGTGATGATACTACCAATACGGGGGGGGGGGGAGGGGGGGGGGCACAACTAGTGAGAATGTCCAGGTGGGGGGAGGGGGGGGGCACAACTAGTGAGAATGTCCAGGTGGGGGGGGGGGAGGGGGGGGCACAACTAGTGACAATGTCCAGGTGGGGGGGGGGGGGGGAGGGGGGGGGCACAACTAGTGACAATGTCCAGGCTGACACTTGCAAATGTATAGGCCTGTGAGGCACAGGAAGAAGTGAAATATTTTAGATATTGTGTGTTGTTAACCCTCCCCCCCCCCCCCCTTCTTCTCCGGATACCATTGTAGCTACAAGTAGATCAACAATGACAATTCTTAGGCTGTAAAATCAGAGGGGGAATAAATAGACTTTTGTGTTGCCAGGCTTTCCCGAAATGTGTATAATGATCAATATTCTTACTCTCACTTTGCCTTTGTATGTATAGGTCTAGCTACATCACGGACATTCTGTGCATCAAGTGAGTATGTGTCAGGAAACAAGTAAAATGCCTGCATATGAAATCTAACCACTGGTGCACTATCGGCGACCGGGCTCGATTAGCCCTTGACGCCCTGAAGATGTGCGTCCCTTGCAGCTCAGGACATGCATCTATCCACCATGCAGCTGGTCGTGCAGGTCTCGAGCAAGTGGCTGGTGTTTTCTGTCCATGGCATCACCCACCACTGTCCTATGCGGTTACATTTAAATTCACGCCAATTCAGCACCAATGCAATGTGGAATAATTTCCCTGGTTGTCCATAATACAGTTGTACCACCTAGTACTGTTATCAGCTGCTTCAAAGTATGACATTCCGTGATAATCTTTGGCTGAAACTGGTGTCCCAAACATACTTCACTGTCAGTCCTGTAGATTGCCGAGTTAATTGTCTACTACCATGTCTATACCGCTCTGAAATTGGTTTAAGTGGGCATTTAATATTAGTCTCTCCCATGTATATAATTATCAGGGTGAAGAGTGAGTGGATACTCTTGGAACTAGCAATGAAGAGACCATGCTGGATCTAGGGTTCTGATGTCGATTGATAAAATAACTGTCACTTTTATGTGGCAGGTATGCAAAGTGGGTTGATTTCAGACCATATTGACAAACGAGAGGTACCGTGATTAAATTTATTACATGTATTTTTCACAAGAATGTGTTCTGTGTCCACTATTGACCGATCGCAGGATGTCTGTCGGGATGCAGCTGTGCAGGGACAACTATCGAGAACTGCACCGCACAGTTTTCCAGCATTCCAGAGAACATTCCGGCTTGTGTCACAAAACTGTAAGCATAAGGCTATGAAGCCGTACGCGTATATGCCGGTTATTTGTCACTTCTCCATCTCGAGTAGAAAGCTATGAAACCGCACATTGTATGTGTCACTTCTCCATCTCTTTGACTGCAGCCTGGTAATCCTACATGCACTGAGGATTTGTCTTCAAAGGCTACTTTTGTATGCTCCATGTGACTGCACTCATACCTCGTTTATCCAGGCAGGCTGGGACGGGGCACTGCCCGTAACTTTGAAATGCCTGTAACTCCGAGTCACGTACATGTTGATGGGAAAATGCCATAGATATGGCATATGGCGTTACTAATTCCACAAAAAGTGACAGAAGAGTAGTAATATTTCCACTGAAACTCGCCCAAAGGGTGCCTGGTAGACCGAAGTGCCCGTTACTTCGCGGTCTGGATAACCAAGGTATGAGTATACAAGCGACTGGATATCATTACATATGTCTAACGACATCCTCGCTACTTTCGTTTAATTGATTGGCATGGATGACCCTGAAGTTCGGTAGAGGCTGTGGAGGGTGCAGGAAATTGTGTTACACTACCGGGAGTTGCAGGTAGAAAATCATGCTGGGAAGCCCTTCTCAACCAGGACATACTGTTGGTATCATGCTGGGAAGCCCTTCTCAACCAGGACATACTGTTGGTACCAGAATGAATTGTAAACTCGATATGGTTCCACTCTAGACCAGAGCAAGTGTAAGATGAATTTTCATGGCAAAACGCTAGGAGGTGCCCTAGAGGCGTTCAACCCTTTTTTTACAATACAGGGCTGTAGACCCGGGAGTTCACATGGACCGGCCAAATGGGATACAGTACTTGGCCGATATGAACAGTACTGTGAAAAAAAATGCTAGTACACGTTTTCAAAATAGGGCCCGGCCATGGCCGGACCGGCCGGATCAAGCGCTATGGCCCAGCAATAATGCATTGGTAACACGGCTATCAAGCAGGAGCTTGAAGGCCTATTAATTTTGCTCTCCTTCCTTCCGTTTTGTTGACAGGGACTTGAGTGGAGTTGGGTTGCGGCATATTGCTGGTGCAAAGCTTGCACGCTTGACCAACCTGGAAGTCCTGTGAGTACTAGGGTCCTCAATTACTTATCTATATTCAATTTCCTGTCCCTTAGGTGGGAGGCTGAACCTGTCACACTTGCAAGTATACCTGATCAGGTATCGGTACATATGTAAACGGCACAGGCCTTGTAGAAAGGAGAAAGAGGGGGGGGGAGGCATCCAGAGGAATACATCTATGCCAATTACCAGAAGCAAAGTTATCACAAAAACGAAACTGAACAAAAATGCTTCAAGATGCTTGATGCAGGCAGGCTGGCAGTCGGGCGGTCGTGATCAATGCGCAACTTGCTTTGTTTGAGGCACTAACTGTTTGGATTTCTGTACTCCGGTCATTGTTCTCATTGTACACAATATGCTTCCTCCATTACGCTTTGTTTCGTGTTCAGGGATCTGAGTAATAACCAACTTCGTACACTGCCTCTCACTACGTTTCTTGGACTGCGCAATCTTAACTCATTGTAAGTACCTTGTGTGTGTGTGTGGGGGGGGGGGGGGAATCGAAATGCTTTTGCTTTACCAGTTTCAAGATGAGTTCTGTAATGAATGTACTGTCCTGTGACCAAGACGACATGAAGAATGAAAAAGTACTGTACCATGGTGGCCAAACCATCCCCAGTTCACACTCCTCATTGTACTTGTGTGTTGCTTTTAATAGAGCCCTAGTTTCTATTTCCGTTTTATTCCTGTACTTGGTTTCAGATCTCTGGCACGGAATCGACTCTTGCAGCTACCAGCTAGGGTGTTCCAGCCCATGACATCACTGCAAGACCTGTGAGTCTTCATTTATGTGTGTTCCCGTGCTTCACCAGCACCTATCAGAAGAAAACCCGCAGTTAGAGCTCCTTTTTTTCTTTCCTGGTCCTAGTACTACTGACCTGGCCATTGAAACCACTCCGCTCTCAACTCCTCATTGTGTATTGTGTATAGGTTTCGCTCACATGATGAGCGAAATGCGTTTGCATGGTCTTTTTTTCAATTTTTCCAAGCATGGTCTCACTATGTTTTCAATTCCAACTGCTTGTGATCTGTGGGAGACATGTACCTGTATGATGTGTATAATAGTTTCGAAAACTTTCAGTTGCTAACATTTACTCCATCGAACTAACTTGTGTCGGCCCTGTGCTTTTTGTTTGGTTTTGTGTAGAGACATTTCCTTCAATCGGCTTATCTACATTGCCTGTGATAGTTTTTCCGGTCTGCAACATTTGGAGATGCTGTAAGTATGAATATCACATACAGATGAGCATTCCCACAAATGCCTAGAAGCCAACTCCCATGTCCTATACATTGCATTGTTTTGTGAATTCATTCCAAGATCCAGCCAACGATAACAGTTTTGCCAGTGATTTCAGTGAGGATGCCAAGAAGAACTTGGCAAAGTAATTGGTAACTCGTATTCTATGGTCTTTTCATGTGCAGGAACCTGAGGAACAATGAACTAAGATGGCTGCTGCCACACACTTTCCGTGGTCTGGATTACGATCTAGTCACTGTGTAAGTATGGAAGTATGGGCAGGAGGTTTCAGGTTGGCGTGTGATTGGCAATTAATTCTATCAATATGAGAGGTGGATTTGGAGTTGGGGGAGGGGGGGGGGGGGGGAGTCCTGGGCCCATTGTGTCCAGATCGGGACAATGATTTTCCTTGGGAGCATGAGTAGTAATGTGCCAGAATTTTGCAGTTTTGCAAAGTTGCATCATGTGGATGTTAACACTTTCAGTTTAATTACAAACAACCTTTGTCACAGGACGCACAACCATTGGTTGGCATTGTGACACTCAGCATGCATGCATCATGTTTGGAGCATAACAGCCATATTTGGACCCCTGCTCCGGGCGTCCCTGGATCCTCTACTAACTACTTTGTTCTAACTACTTTACGGTTGGGAAAATATGTGTGGAGGACTACATTGATCTTGTGGTTGGACCAATCGATTTTGTTCCAATATGCCTATCATGGTGCATGACCAGAACTGTTACATTTTCCATTTGCTTCATTGTTAATGCTGTTACAGGGATGCCAGCAACAACCAGCTGCAGTCATTTGATTCAACACCTCTTCATGACAACGTCGGATTCACATTGTAAGCTGATCAGTGAAAGATGTTACATGGATCATTAATGGAAGAGTGAATATATCGTGAATGCTGTGTATGGTTTAGCAAGCCAGCTCCTGTGGTGTTGCGGTACTACTAGTACTCCATAAAATGCCTTCAAAATACTGTATAACACCTAGAAATATCCTATCCAACAGGATTAGCATTTTCATGTGAGGCCAGGGTCCTTTCATTTGGAGCCAAAGACGCTGTTGACTTTAAAAAAATTGGTTAATAATTAAATGATCTACTTCATCCATGGGCTATACACGCAATCATTAGAACATCGGGCATGCTTTATATCTCATTTGTATTTTCTCTGCATTTTTGCCCTTCAAAGGAAACTGGATGAGAACCCTCTGCAGTGCAACTGTGATCTTGCACCGACCGTCTCCTTCTTCCGCGAACATCCCGATCAGCTTCTTGCAGCTGGCAACACTATTTGCCATGTACCAGCGCCTCACGATGGCGAACAAATCCTGCAAGTTGACCCAGTTACTCTCTGCAGTAAGTGTGCAATGATATGTTTCCTGATATTTCAGGCCTGCTTCGTTAAAGTGAGTGACTTTTACACATTCTCTGTAGTATGCTTCCTTTAGGGCATGTTCAGACTGACATAAACACACAGCAGTACAGAACAGTATGAAACCATGAATGCCACTCGTACAACACAGTTTTTTTTCTTTTTGTACGTGTGTGTGTTTGTGTGTGTGTGTGTGTGAGAGAGAGAGAGAGAGAGAGAGAGAGAGAGAGTGTGTGTGTGTATGTGTGTGTGTGTGTGTGTGTGTGTGTGTGTGTGTGTGAGTGTGTGTGTGTGAGTGTTTGTGTGTGTGTTGGTGTGTGTGTGTGTGTGTGTGTGTGTGTGTGTGTGTGTGTGTGTGTGCGTGTGTGCGTGTGTGTGAGAGAGAGAAAGAGAGAGGGTGTACTCGAGTGGTATCTCGTTGTCGCGAACGCGATCGTAATTTCCATAATTATCACTTAGTAGTGCTAGAGCCTACTTTTTCTGACCTTGCCGCGCTCCTTCCATATTCTGAATGGATAGGCATGCGCAGTATGGTACGCGCGGATATTAGGCATGCGCGTTCCTAATCAGCCTCTTTTTTTCTGATCACCAAGCTTGACCTCGTGTTCTCATGGTTCTTGTGTGGATCCAAGTTTGCAGGCAGCTCGCCTTTTAGAGCAAGATGTCATGAGTGGATTGTTTGTAGTGCAACTGGCATGAGTATTATTAGATCAGGGTAGTCGCACGGCGACACTCGTTTCTCACTCCTATCATTGCCATCATCCATGCATGTATGGTGTGTTCTTGTCCTGCAGTCTCTAGACCTGCCATATGTAACCTGGCCGCTGAAGCAGGTCCCTGCCGTGGCTCTATCCCGCGATACCACTATGATCCTGTGAGCCAGTCGTGCAAAGAGTTTTCTTATGGTGGCTGTAGGGGAAATGGAAACAACTTTCCACACAAGGAGACCTGCGAACTCCTTTGTAATGGTAAGAAGTCTTCAATTTGGGTGACTGAGTACTGCATATTTTCTTGTTCCATGATTGGACACTGCAAATTGATTGGAGAGCTTACTGCGGATGAGGTATGAGTTTCATGAACAATGAGTATCCGTGTATGTACATACTGTGTTTGTATGCGACATCGTATGCAGTGGAGGATCCATGTGGTGATGAGCCCTGCCTGAACGATGGCCAGTGTCAGAGGAGAGCGGGTGCTGCCGGAGGCTATGTGTGCATCTGTCCTTCAGGGTACACTGGACCACTCTGCCAGACCCGTAAGTAATGCTACATTATGTAATCTTAATTCCACTACACCATACACTGGACCACTCTGCCAGACCCGTAAGTAATGCTACATTATGTAATCTTAATTCCACTGCACCACAGGGTGAGGCAGGTTACTTTCAACAAGCATTCCCAGGCAGCCATACAAGTAGCTAATCCTGGCCGAGCAGAAAAGACCGGGCACACTTGAATAAAGTAATCGAACCCTGATTGGAGTGCAGATACTAGGTTTTGCCAGTATGTCACGTCTCTACCAGTCACACCACCTTGATTTTCTATGGCCGGAGAGGCCGGTCACTGTGCCATTGCATACTCCCGTGATGATGACCGGTGATGCTGCACTCCATGAACATCTTGCAGGTGCACTTTACTTCAAACCATATAACTTGTTGTCGGTGCACAAGCCGACTATCAAGCTTTCATCTGCACTCCGAAAGTCCAAAGTGACTGGCACAGAGTTCATGTCACTGTGCAACGTGTACAAATCTCTCATCGGTGCCATCCAATGATCACATCACAGAATGGTTCGAAGTGACGAAACAGCCTGCTGGTGTTATCAGAACATCATGGCATAATGGCGGCCTCCTGAGCTACATCCAGGCTTTGCACACAATATGCATTTATATAGCTATAGAGTCACACATGCAATGTTTCAATTTTAAAAGAGAAGTTTACTTTCCCATGATTCTACTTGGAAGCAGGCACATTACCACACTGTATTATTCCTGCCTGACATGCGTGCATGCAAATGGTAGCAATCCAACAGCTAAGGTAGTAGCCAGGTTTTTTACCAACCTGAAATCACTGCTAAGCAGTTTTCTTTACAGTTAGTATTTTGATTAGCTGCTCGGTTGGTCAAACTGAACCGGGAACGTATTGGTCAGGCCTGTGCTGCCTATTTGCCTGCACCGGCACAGTGCAGGTGAGACAGGTACTTCAACCCCATCCTGTGATCAGATCTGTATGGACTGTGTATTTCTGTACAGCAATCAACCCATGCGACTCTGGGCCATGCATGAATGGTGCAACCTGTGTAAACACTGATAGCAGCAGCTATCAGTGTAGATGTGCGCCAGGCTATACCGGAGATCAGTGTCAATCCGGTGAGGGTTACTATACATGCATGGTAGCTTTGCACATGGTGTACCATTGCTACTCAAACTATTGCCATGCATATGGTCATTGCCAAGATCTGTGCTTGTCAGTTTGTGCAATTGTGTGTGCATGACTTGATTGCGTACTGTTCTGTTTGTTTGTGAGTTGGCATGCTCCCAGTAGAAATGGCCTGGTGTGACGTATAGGGATAAGCTCTCATGTGTAATGCTTTCACAGGAGTACTCTCAGTGCCTCTTCAAGAGAGCATTTCTCAGTCGTTTTTTTCCATTCTGTCAAGGTTTAAAATATTCTCGTGTTTTCTGTGATTGTCAGAAATCAATCCCTGCTCGTCTGAGCCATGCCACAATGGTGGCACTTGTAACGTCCTCTCATCCACTGCTTTCACTTGCACCTGCCCAGTTGGCTATACTGGACCGCTGTGCGCCGACCGTAAGAAAATATACTTTCCCGTTGTTGCGTTTGTGCATTGCTATGTGCTTCTGCACCAGCCATGTGTGGATTTGGTACTCTTTCCATGTGTGTGTGTTACAAAGTTATGCTTTCCATGTGCGTGTGTTACAAAGTTATGCTTTTCAACAGCAGTGGCCTACTTTCCTGATTGGATTCGAATTTTCATCGTCACTTTTTTGCCATTTTTCCTTTCGTTTTAGAGTTTTCTTTTTGCAGTGTCGATGTATGTACGCCATTGCCAGCCACTGGCCATGGTTCTTTGTGTTCTGTGGTGTGCTAAACGGGTGGAGCACAACGACTGCACGTGTCTGTACTGACCGGACTGTATTCAATGAAGTAAGGAAGAAACTGAGCATTTTTAATGCATTTTCTGATATTCTTGCAGCTGATATCTGCTCTACTATGCCGTGCAAGAATGGCGGTGTTTGCCAGAGCTCTGATGGTGTTGACTACACATGCATATGTCTACCGGGCAGTGGCTACACGGGAAAGGACTGCGATGAACGTAAGATGTCACACTTGTGATGACCCTCTCTATGGCATGGTGCCTATTCTGCTGCATTGGCGGGTGCTTTTTACAGTGGGTATCAGCTCACTTCTTCATTCCTTTTCTTTATATTTCCAGTAGAAATTGAGCATGACTCTGTGTAATGTTGCTGAGTATGAGTGAAGCACGAAGCATTGTCTTGCTTGGGGAGTAAATGCAACATGGAGCTCCTGTGGGATGACAAAATCCGCGGCCTTGCGTATGTATGGAAGAACAATGGATGGAGGTTTTTTTTCTTTTTACATTTCTTCGTCACTAGCTTCTCTGTGTCTCCTCTATGTCCTGTTTAGTCATAGACCTTTGTGACCCTAACCCATGTCTGAACGGAGCAACCTGTGTTAGCATGATGGGACTGACCTACCAATGCATGTGTGCTGCTCCGTACACGGGCCAACTGTGCGAAACAGGTGAGAGCTGCATGACTGTGTATGTGCGTGTGTGTGCGTGTATGTGCGTGTATGTGTGTGTATGTGTGTGTGTGTGTGTGTGTGTGTGTGTGTGTGTGTGTGTATGTATGTGTGTGTGTTTTGGGAGGTTGGGGTGCAGGTGGGGTGGGCCAGTGGGGGTGGGGGGGAGTTAAATCATAGCAGACATGGCAGTTACTGCTTATATGCCGCATAGTACGAGGCCACAAACTCGCAGCACATACCTCGTACGGTATGACTCCAGTAAAGTTGACGTCAACATGATTTCTGCTGTGTGCCAAACCAGGAGGAGTTATGCACTCCTGCTTGTGTACATGTACTCTTGGTGTCAATGAGAATGAAGGAATGGACATGCATAGAGAAATCAGGTCTGGCTAGCTATAAAAAAATTGGAAACATTATTGCATGGGTTCGTGTACAGGGTGGATCAAGAACCGCCGTTCCGCTCCCGTTGGACGCCATCACCCCATGATCAGGCATCAGATGCGGCTCCTAAACGGTGGGGGAGGACGGGTCAGATCAACCAACCAGAGGCCAAAGGCCGAAATCCCACTTGCCACATCTGGCTAGCTAACAAGTTTACTAACATTATGAGGAATTGTATGATGCTTTTGAGCCGTCCTTGATGTGCATTCTTGGTCTGTCCATTTGCTTTCACAGTCGTTGACTACTGTCGCTCTGCGCCTTGTCAGAATGGTGGCACCTGTACGAACAAACCTTTCGTTGCTGGACATGAATGCACTTGCCCTGACTTCATCGGAGGCATCAACTGCGAGAATGGTATGTGAAAACACCCTGAATGAAGCGAAATACGGTCAATCTATTTTCTAGAAAGGAAAAGGACATGTGGATACGAGTTAAGAGTAACTCTCCATCACTGTAACATGATACTATATACAGTCAGAAAGTGCGATAACTAGGCACAAAACTGACTCAACATCCGAGTTTCAAATCTATTCTCTGTCCAGGATTTTGTTCACAAAATGCGGTTTGGGCAGTTTCTTAGAATGGTTCTTTTACGAAATTCAGTCTATCCATTTTCTGCATCATGAGATGCAACCCAATGTATTCTAGCTTTTTATATTCTATTACTGGGCCAGTTTCGAAGTAGATATATTCAGGCCACGTTGTTTGCCTCGTACTTTGTGCTACGAAACCACTTACTCCTACGCGGAGTATATAGGGAGAAGGGGGGGGGGGGGTGTATATCTACATGACTGTGCTGGGATGTTTTATGTGCACAGATTATGCCGTCTTCGTCGAAGCTGTGACAGATCGGTCGGCCAGGCTGCGACTTCATCGACCTTTCCCAGGCCCTGAGCCCTGGACGGCAGTGTTGACATCAGGTGGACTCCCAGTGCAGACATTTACTGTCGATTCCGACCAGGAAACTGCAGGCATATCCGGCCTGGAACCAAACACCGTTTATGAAGTTTCGGTGACGGGCACGGATTCCAATGTGGAGATACCTCTTCTACGACAGGACTTTCTGACACGGCCATTTGTTGATCCACCAACAGGTAAGGGCTGGAAAACAAAGGCACGGCGGGCGCGGGGTTTGCATTGCTAGCCAGCACTGGGCTCTGGCAGTGTGGCAAGTCTTTACTGACAGTCCACTGATATCGAATTGGAGGAGAATGGTGAAGGAACAAGATAGCATACGCTTACATATACTTGCATTGCTGGCCATCACAGTCTATCCAACTGGCAATGTAGAGATGGCCACCGATGTGTACCCTAACACTGTAGAAACTAGATAGAAGAACTAGTGGATCCAGGCATCTTGCCAGCCTCATGCTACAGTCACTCACTCTTGATGGATAGAGAACTAGTGGATCCAGGCATCTTGACAGCCTCATGCTACAGTCACTCACTCTTGATTAATTCCCCACGTGGTACATGCAATCGACAAACCAAGAATACCCTATCCATGGCTTCACCGGAGGCACTACCCACATAGTGAGTTCATGGTTGTTGTGGTTCGCATTCAGCCCGCACACTACTCATACACAGTTCCACTGATACACACGAATCGGAGAGTTAAGAAATGCATTGCATTGAAAGGGAACATGGAAGTAAAGGTAAAACCAGAGAGGAAAGACATGCAACACAGGAAGCCAAGATGGATCCAAGGAGAAGCGCATTGCACACATGCGCACACTCTAGATGCAGAGAGTGCTGCATGGCAACAGTAACTACGCGCATGGCAACAGTAACTACGTGCATGGCAACAGTAACTACGCGCATGGTAACAGTAACTACGCGCATGGTAACAGTAGCTAAGATAATCTGATAATGACGTCACACATAGCATGCATGCAATCTAGGACTGTGACGTTGCACATAACATGCATGCAATCTAGGACTGTGACGTTGCACATAGCATGCATGCAATCTAGGACTGTGACGTTGCACATAGCATGCATGCAATCTAGGACTGTGACGTTGCACATAGCATGCATGCAATCTAGGACTGTGACGTTGCACATAGCATGCATGCAATCTAGGACTGTGACGTTGCACATAACATGCATGCAATCTAGGACTGTGACGTTGCACATAACATGCATGCAATCTAGGACTGTGACGTTGCACATAGCATGCATGCAATCTAGGACTGTGACGTTGCACATAACATGCATGCAATCTAGGACTGTGACGTTGCACATAACATGCATGCAATCTAGGACTGTGACGTTGCACATAGCATGCATGCAATCTAGGACTGTGACGTTGCACATAGCATGCATGCAATCTAGGACTGTGACGTTGCACATAGCATGCATGCAATCTAGGACTGTGACGTTGCACATAACATGCATGCAATCTAGGACTGTGACGTTGCACATAACATGCATGCAATCTAGGACTGTGACGTTGCAATCTAGGACTGTGACGTTGCACATAACATGCATGCAATCTAGGACTGTGACGTTGCACATAACATGCATGCAATCCATAACAATGGTAATAACCTTCCAATCAGCAACTTGATTTTACAGGCGATGTGTAAATGAATCGCGTATAGTTGCTCCAGTAGACTAGCAGCGCCGCATGTGTTGTCTGCCTTGTCTCCGTGTGTGCCTGTTTAGAAATATTCGCGGAAAGCAGCGTTCTAGATGCCGAGTGGAAGGTCGACCCAGCCAACCGAAGCGTCACATTTATGCTCGCTACTCCGACGTTCGACTGGGTGGGCCTGGGAATCTCGAATGATCAGTTCATGGTAAGTACCCACAACATGACCCTTCCAGCACAACATGACCCTTCCAGCACAACATGACCCTTCCAGCACAACATGACCCTTCCAGCCCAACATGACCCTTCCAGCCCAACATGACCCTTCCAGTACAACATGACCCTTCCAGCACAACATGACCCTTCCAGCACAACATGACCCTTCCAGCACAACATGACCCTTCCAGCACAACATGACCCTTCCAGCACAACATGACCCTTCCAGCACAACATGACCCTTCCAGCACAACATGACCCTTCCAGCACAACATGACCCTTCCAGCACAACATGACCCATGACCCTTCCAGCACAACATGACCCTTCCAGCACAACATGACCCTTCCAGCACAACATGACCCTTCCAGCACAACATGACCCTTCCAGCACAACATGACCCTTCCAGCACAACATGACCCTTCCAGCACAACACGACCCTTCCAGCACAACACGACCCTTCCAGCACAACACGACCCTTCCAGCACAACACGACCCTTCCAGCACAACACGACCCTTCCAGCACAACACGACCCTTCCAGCACAACACGACCCTTCCAGCACAACACGACCCTTCCAGCACAACTCTAGCAGTTGTATACACCAGGACACACCTTTTCAAACATTTCATTTGCAACGCTACTAGTTTTTATCCCTGTGCAATGACAATAGTAATGCTCCTTTTTCCTTGGTCACCACCCGTCATGAAGTCATCATCAGTCTTTCCCCAGTCTATACAACTGCTGTGTAGTGACGGAATTCTGACGTGCAACCGTGACAAGGTGTGTGCATTTGTTTTCCATTTCTTTGTGTACAATCCAGCCCTTCAGTGACATCATTATGGCGTATCGTAATCAGAACGGCATTCCACAAATTGAAGATGCGTAAGTGCAAGGTTTGGCTGGCCTAGCAGAACAAGATGGAGAATTCTCGCTCCACATATACTGGCATACACAGAGACATAGACAGCAATAGCGACAACACACGAAGTGAAGGGTAGTTGGCCGCAGCCAGATGTGAACCGGATAACGAGTGAGGTATGGAAGCAAGGACTGAGAACAGAGTGTCTCAGATAGAATAGGCGTGCCAGTGGATAGCAGAAATAGGCCATGATGCAGAACCACTTGGGACCGTCAGATTAATTTTCCTGGACCGAGCCAGCCGGGAAAAAACCCTCGCGCCGACGGACGCAGTTGTGAGGGAAAAAGCCGGGTGTATATCCCCAATGGCGATTAGGCATGATGTAGGCATGGCAAGCACATCACGGCAAACAAGGATAAAAAGCAATGATAATATGCACAGAATTGAAGGGTGGGAGGGCAGGGACACTCGTGAGACTCAAAACTGACTGAAGAAGTCAGGAAAAGAAGCGACAATAAAGAACACAACAGATGCCATATTTGCAACTGAAAATATTTCGCGAGAACATTTCTCGCTTATCTCGCTTATCTCGCTATGCTCGGCCGGCGAGAAATACATCTGTGGATATTCCCATCCAAGAACATTTTTTGAAAGGTCGAAGTTGGAAACACTGGCAATTACAGGATGTAGTAGCTGGCCCCGGAGGCAATCCCACTCAAAGACACACTTGGTCAAGTTGCCAATAATTATCACACTCCTACACAGGGCTGGTTTTTTCCCTCACACTTCATAAGCATGATCGATGAATCCTGTAAAGGCAACCGCCTTACAAAGACGACCACTTATTCTTGGCACAAGTTTTTTTTACGAAAAGGCTCCCATAAAGCAGCCACTTGTTCAACGTGACAAAAGATCTCAACTCCGCATATTTTTTTTAAGTGCCCTACACTTCAGCCCATAACATGTGCTCTAGGTGACCGTTGTGAGAGCGCATGCAGCAATACATGTGTTGATGAGTTGATACAGAGCACACATTGTGAATGCAGATGCTAGTTCATGCCTCACCATGATAATACTGGTCGGAATGACACACAGCAAAGTGAATGTGGTGACACATGACTCGGCTGTAGGTGGATAAGGAGCTAATCTTGCCTAAGGGAATCCTGGTTCCTGATGGTCATCTTAACTGCTTACCATAATTTGTACTCTTCTTCACCTCAGATATGCGCGGGGGCGCATCCGTCCAGATCCCGATCCAGACAGCCAGGTGACGAATTTCCGATTCTCTTCGTTCCGAGGTGTTCAGCGTTATTCCTTCACACTGCCATGCTTCTCCGAGGATGAACTGGATGTCAGACTGGCCGAGGTGAACTATTTCATGTTTGCACGCGGTGTCCAGTCCAACGATCGCATCAGTTATCACCGAGGCAACCGAGTTCGAACTGCCGAGCCTAGGAACATCACGTGCACAAGTAAGTTTGTGCGCAAGAGTATCATGTGTAAGACGAGCTAGCAACACTGGTGTAATATACGCATACATACTGTCATATCATAGCCAGGCAAGGAAAATGATGCTGGAATTCGCATGACAGCTACACATCTACAAAGAGAATGGCTGCTAGGTTTCTGTTTGAAACCATAGTTGTGCATTCACTTACTTCTTCCTTCTTAATCAAACCGGGCACACGGCTTTGGTCAATGGCATCGAGTAATTCTCAATTTCTCATGCACTCTTATAGTTATATTCTCGTACTCCCGTCTTCTGCAGATGTGGACCCATGCCAGTTTATCCCCTGCCATAATGGTGGCACTTGCGTGAATCGAGGAGCTAATCAGCCATGTCTGTGTGCGGATGGATGGGGCGATGTCTTCTGCGACTGGGGTGAGTATACGACATGTGTACCTCTGATGTCCTTACAACTTGGCGAAAGGTTGGCATTCTGATGCCAGTTCGTTGCGACGCTCACATTAAAATGGCTCGGATGCTAAATCTTCTCATTTCCCAGCTTCAGGGTGTGCTTGACCGTTCAGTAGGTGTCTCTTTTAGATTACTCCAAACTCTCTCAGTTGCATATTGTAAAATATGGAACTGAGCGGGGAGGGGGGGGGGGCAAAAGGGTATGGGTAGTTGGCATCTTGTATGAGATTCAAGCATGAATTTTGGCTTTATTTGTGAGATTGATTGGAAGAGAATTCACAGCTTTATTCCATATATCAGACGGGGAAAAGAGCAAGAAAAGACGAGAACAAAAACATGGAGCATGCTTGAGCCAAATTCATTGTTCAATCCTGACCGAGTTATTACAATGCAAGAGATACGCGTCCGGTAGAAAGCATGACAACATGACCCTATCCAGAATGAAGGACTGTCATGTTTGCATACTCCACTCCTTCTCTCTAAACTTCTTTTCTCAATGTCACTGTTTTGCCTTGCAGCAATTAGTGCAGACATCATCAATGTGCAGTCAACGTCCGCAGTCTTCTTCCTTAACCAAGAATTCTTGCCGGGTTTAAACGACATGTGGACACTAAATCTCACATCCAGCGGATCTCTGGTTTCCTCCGTGCAAGTCCCTCGCAATATGGTCTCGTACCGCTGGACAAACCTGATGCCCAACACCGTCTATGAAGCCGTTGCGGAAAGCAACTTCTACGAGCGGCCGCAGCGCCAAGTGTTCTTGACTGAACCATTCGCAGGCGATGCAAACGGTAAGTAGTGCCATTTCTTGCTCCACGTCTACTGGTGTTCAAAGAGACTTAGACGGCACACATTTTCCCATTGCAGTTTGGCTTGCATAAACAATGTTTCTTCATTTCAAAGTGTTGAAGTAGAATGTTGGAAAATACAGAACTTCTAGGTGATGAGAAGAATGGCCACAAGGGAGAGGAATGAGCAATAGAAAGGACAGAGGTCATGGTACAAGAGGTTGCTTATGGCCATGGTCAGAAATTGAAGTTGAGAGTTCTCTTGATCTTCACTTTCCTTGATTTTGGTCTTTGCTTCACAGGACGAATTGATGATCCTATGCTAAGTGCTGAGTGGAAGGTCAATGAAGTTGGACGCATGGTATTCGCACTCTCTACCACCACCACGGGCAACTGGCTTGGCCTCGGAATTTCTGACGACAGACTCATGGTGTGTTTTCAAACTTGCAAGCATAACTCCTGATCTTCCTGCAATTAGTTTGGGGTCCGGTGGTGTTTGTGTGTGTTTGTGCATGTGTGCATGTGTTTGCCTGTGCACACGGACTTGTCTGCCTGTCGGTCTGTTTGTCCGTATGTGTATGTGGATGCACATGTGTGCGTATGTTTGTGAGTGGGCATTGCATGAGTTGATTGACGGACAATGGGGTGAATCTGGTGACAGGGTACTATTGGTAACCCTGATCCACATGGATAGCTGCAAGCCTACGAATATTGAATATGAGATACGATGAGGACACGGCAATGGTTTTCATATACCCTCGATCACTAGGCTGCAGGTAAGGGAGATGTGTCACATCTTTGTCAGTGACTCACTGTCCACATGCTGTGTACAAAAGTACACAGCATGTGGGCAGTGTTATCAACATGGCCAACATCATGTGAGCCTTTTTTTCTAGGGGTTGACTGGAGTTGAAGCCAATGGAACCGCCCCACATGACCGTAGGGTAGATGTAAAACAGCTCTGCACCTGTAACTGGCCAGAACATTACCTCGTAGAAAATGATAATGTGCCATGTGAGAATCTCCCCTCCCAATCCGCTTCCATTCCAGTGCTCTCCGCCGACCACGTTAGCCCGTTATCAGTGTTTTGTAAAGGCACGTAAACATCACATGTGTTGCCTGTGTGCTTCCTAGGCCAACTCGGATATTATCACGGCTTTCGTGGACGGTAGTGGCAGAGTTCAGGGGCAGGACAGGTAAGCCATCGTCACCCAATCCTGAACATGTGCACGATCTTCTAGCTAATAAAGAACCAAAGTGATGTCTGTGTTGCAGCTGGGCATGATTCACCCATGTACTATACTTTGCTCTGATCATATTATAGATCATGGAAGTGTTTGCAAGTGTTCATACAAGTGCTTTCACCAAGTCTCTTTCTCACTCCGGCTTTAGACTGACTTCACACTACAAAAATTGGTATACAAATCCAAGCTACCATGATCAACGGTTCACACACAAATCCCCGTAGGAATGATGTAGTGCAGGCCAGAGATGAACAGTGTGAGTAGAATGAGAGACACAAGCTTCCCAGCAGCCCTAGCGGTTCTCAGCTGGAAAGGATGCACTACACAGGAAACCTGTCAAGGAATGCATGGAAGCTGCATGCGCTGAATATCATGCAGCGCTACTAAGCTAAACGAATTCAAATAAAAGAGACAAACAAACTGTGTGAAAGGAAGAAACGGAATCGTGCTGTTGCTCTCCGGCCTTGGAATTTCTTAGTACGATTTGTGAATCGACCTAAGAATTCTATAAATACGGCAGGAGTTGAAATGTTTCTTCTCCGGTTGCTTAACCAGCATTCTTGAATTTGAAGCTATGGCTGGTAGCCAGAACATGCTTTAATTGCTTAAAATCCCTGATCAATTTCTTGACTGTGGCTTTCATGGGACTGTCGGTGAAGGTATGCAACGCAAAGAGTTCGACCGACCGTGGATGCCGACAGTCAAATCGCCGATCTGCGCGCCTCGCAACACAACGGCCGCACCACCATTACGTTCAGCCTGCCGTGCGAGAGTGAAGATTCCAATGACATCCCGGTGAGAGGCAGCCACTACTTCCTGTTTGCCACCGGCCCGGTTACATCGGGCGGCAGTGACATTGGCTACCATCAACAGCGACTTGTGACCAACAACAAAATCGAAGTGGATTGTACACGTAAGTCACCGTGTCGGTCCTAATGCTTTTCTGCCATGTTCTCTGCAATGAGCTCATTGTTTTCTTTTGCTCCGAGGGTATCCTGGGAGAAGTTACTGTGCCAAACTAGTTTCATTACCCCTGTATCCTTACCTTGGATTTAGGTTTGTAGCAGGCTTGCCATAAAATGGAGAGCAGCAGCAGACTCGATGAATTAAAGATTTGTAGCAAATGATCATCTTAAAACACATACTATGATTGAGTATGTGCTCCCTAGTACCTTTCCTTCTCTCACTGGATGGCTGTTATTATTTGTTCTGGCAGCGATCAACCACTGCGATTCCAATCCATGTCTGAATGGGGGCTCGTGCACGAGCGGATCTCATGGGTACTCCTGCGACTGCCCACCTGGACACGAAGGCCAGGTGTGCGAGACTGGTAAGTCACCTACAATGTAGGTCCTTGCAGCTCAACAGCACAGATATATGTACTAAACTGCTAATACAGTGTCTTGTGCATGGATCGCCGAGACACAGGACGCTTTAAGATACCAAGACTTAACTTCTCCGATGCTTTAAGTTGGTATGTTCTCATTATGTGTCGGCAGGAGATTGCAGAAGATGGAAGTGAAGTACATGTAGTCCAATCTGGGCATGTTCTACATTATTCACTGCACTGCTTTCAAGTACATTCATAGGTCAGACAGAAATGTTGTCGTATGGCCAAGTTGACTGAGCCTGAAGCTCCCGTTGATTCTGTCGTGATTGTTCGCCTGCAGTTTACTCATTCAACGTTGTCGACATCACGGACGTATCAGCAGGTGTGCGCCTCACACTTCCCTTCCCAGGCCCCGCGAGTGATATGTGGAGAGTATCTGTTGCCACCCCGAGCGGGCAGGTGGTTGCATCTGCTAACGTACCCGTCTCTGAAAACAGTTTCCAAGCGGATGGTCTCGAGCTGAACACTGCATACATAGTCAATGTGATGAGTCCAGCTGGCAATGCACTACCCACTGAATCATTTTCCACTCGAGCACTACCCGGAGCGCCAACTGGTAAGTTCAGCAAACCAATTACAGCTATGGCCTAGACAATTTGACTCCCGAGTTGAAAGTAGCACCGCATTTCCATTTCAATGACATCATGCAAGGTAGAAAACCCCCATCTGAGGGCTGCATTCAGGATGCGGGTAGGATTTCTTTGGCCACGACTGTGCTCTCAAACTAATATGGACACATCCACCAACCAAACATCATCGTGTGCATCTAGCAAAGTATGCATGAATTTCACTGCTCTAACTTTCTTGTTCTGGAGCCTGCCCAAAGGAGGCACCAGGCACGAAGTGCTCTACTCTAAAACTGAGGTCAAATGACTGGTATATCATCAGCAGGAGTCACCAAGAGCTATTTCTCTGCGCAAAGTGGTTGTTGCATCCGGGTTGATCACTTTGGAGGCTCATGTATACCCAATGTGAGCGCCAATCATAGTAGGAGAAGAGAGGCCTAAGGAAGTTAGTACTGTTCTCGAAAAGTAAATTACATCAATGGATAGAAAATGCCAACACTCAGACGAAACCAGAAGGCTAAAATGACTTAAGCATCTGTGAACTCGCTACATCATGCAGATGCAGTGAAACGACGCTATTTTGATTACATCAGTTGGAAATGGTTTTATAGATGTTTTGTCCTCCTTTTCTTTTCCCACTTCAGGCCAATCTGACAATCGTATTGTAAATGCCCAATGGCATGCTGAAAATAATATCGTGTACTTTGGATTCACGCTACCCAGTACACGTGATTACATTGGCTTTGGCATCTCCAATGATCGTCTCATGGTAAGTTCACGTACATGTGCCGGTGCTCCCTATGTGCATGGCAGTAGAAAAACCCTCAAGCAATCACCTGCTATGACCAACAATTGCTGTGTCTGTGTGTGGGCCGTGTATGCCACCGTGTACGGAGCATGCGTTAAGGTTTTTTTGGCGTAGACGCATTCTTCAAATGCAAATGCATGCACCCCTCGCCAGTCTGACAAGCCTCACCGCGTGCACCGCTTGTACGTGCACATTGCAAATGTGTTTCTCGGGCAACTGTGCTATCAAGTCCACTACACTCCTCAGCAACCTTCACTAGCCAATCCCGAGCCATCATTTACTTGCTGTTATGCTAGTTAACCAGGCTTGTAGCGTATTTAGATTAGCAGTCAATACACAGGGGTGGTACATAGCCAGGCATTGTTGCTTTTATGCAAGGCACGTGAGAAGACATTTTTTGATTTAATAAACCACAAGTTTGCGCCTTGATCCTTGAAGGGTGGTGGGGTTCCTACGGATGCGGAAAACCCGGCTTCAAGCCAAGTCTCACGTGAACCGTGATTTTTTTGATAGTCAAAGAAGTTTTCAGCTTGTAGTTGCTTATAGCACATTTGGCAAATGAGATTTGTATTTATTGATGCGAAGAACGAAACAGTGGTAGTAACTTTGTGGCGGCAGTGGGGAATATGACGGTGTGTTGCTCCCTATGTGAAAGCTCGAGAACTTTGAGGAAAAAAGGTTTTCTTGGAATGGTGAGCCTCCACTGTAGCCATTAATTCAGCCCAGCCGTTGCGCATATAGCGGTCTCTTGCCGACTTTGAGAAGTGTAGGTCACTTAGGCAATACCATGTGTCAATAGCTAATGACTTCATGAGAAAGCATATGTAGCTGATAATGATTTTTTTTGCTTTCTGCTGTGATATGCATGTGAAACCGGCGGCTTTGCAGGCAAACAGTGACATCATCACAATGCACGTAGACCGTAATGGAAATGCTCGTGTCCAGGACAGGTAAGGGACGGCACACACACACATACACACACACGCACACGCACACACACACACACACACACACACACACACACACACACACACACACACACACACACACACACACACACACATACATACGCACACACACACATACACACACACACACACGCACAGACGCACACACACACACACACGCACACACACACACACACACACACACACACACACACATACGCACACACACACACACACATACGCACACACACACACACACACATACGCACACACGCGCACACACACACACACACACACACACACACACACACACACACACACGCACCTGTTGAATATCATTATAATGAATTTCTAGGCTGCAGTGATGTTAATGCAAAGTGTGTGTCTCCTGTTTTCTCGCATTCGATGATATTCCGACTGCAATGATCCATGATATGGTGCTGCATGTAACGATTCGTTATCACTACTTCTGCTGAACACAATTCCCGCATGAGAAGAGCCAAGAATAGACTTCCCTTGCGAGCCTGAGCGTATTCAGGGGTTCTGACCTGGTTTTCCCCGATTTGTGAAAACGGTTTCTCAGTTAGTGGTGTTAGTGCAATGAGATCCAGTATGCCCTTTCTTTGTACACATTTGTAGGTGGGCTTCTGGCCATGCTGTTCCTCAACTTGATGCAAGCAACCAAATCAGGAATGGCCGTGTATCACAAGTCAACGGTATAACGACGTTCTCCTTCTTCGTCCCATGCACAAGTAGCGATTCGCGTGACATTTCCTTGCAAGGAGAGCACTACTTCCACTTCGTGCGTGGTCCCGTGGACAGGAACACTCCGATGTACCACAGTGCTCCAGCGTTCACCACTAGGGACAAAGTCAAAATTGACTGCACGGGTAAGCTCCCTGCTGTGTTTTTATACTCGCATTTGATTGGCAATTGGACTAAATGTGCATAACTTGCCCCATATTACGATCACACATAGTCTGTAATGTAGCATGCGTAACATTTTTATGATCTCATTCTTCATTTCATCTTGGTGTCCATTTCTTTAAATTTCTATTCAATGTTTTGGCTTAGGGCTTTTAGGGTATGACTTTTTTCTATCGTATGTGTATGTGTGTGCATGCCCACGCACATGCGTACGTGTGTGTATGTGAATCTGTGTGTCTGCATATCATGTGTGTTACTTGCTCTCCTTTGCGGATGTAGAAAGTCCAACTCCACCCGGTCCAGACACTACACCAGATCCAGTGCTTCCCTGTAAGTCTGGCTTCCAAACCTTTACAGTGCCATTTTGATCAAAGCATTTCCGTCTTATAGCTAGTTGGGTGGGACAAACTTGAAAACTCGAAATCTCAAGATGTATCTCAAAATGATTGCTTCGTTATTTTCATGATGAGTATGAAGGCCTCAGCATAGGATCTGGTAGTTGTGCATGTGTATGTCATTTGCCTTGCTGTGGCCAATTGTCCATTTCTGTTTGTCAGGTAAGCGGAAAAGGTGCAATGGCGTCAGCTCAGCTTGGTGTTTCTGAGCTTGCGTTGCTGCAACAAAGAAAAAGTCTGAATTGTTGAAGTGCAATTTCTCAACTTGACATCGTTTTTTTAGAATTTTGTTCTTTTCTGTCCTACTGTTCATGTGAAGCTTGTTCCGTGTGTATGTTTCTGCAGATCTTTCCTTGCTTGATCTGCCCGTCAATGATGTTACCATGGCTGCCACTTCATTTGATGTTGTGTACGAGGTGTATGACAAGGCAAGCGATTCATACAGGATGCTTCAACGGACAGGAAATGTGATGCGAGGCGACTTCCCACACACCGCTGAGTTGGATGTGGGCTCACAATATCGCTATCGTGTGGACGCCATAATGCCAACAGGTTCTCAGACTGTGTTGTCAGGCGTCATAGACCTCAGTGCCGGTGAGTCTCCATAGTCCATACGCAAAGAGCTGAAAACAGCTGCAGCCTCTCCAACATGGCAACTATTGTTTGCTTCACATATTTGAAACGGGGAAATTCTATTGCTAAGAAAGAATGCCCGAAGCTCTCTTTGTCAAGATAGTGAGTAGGGAATCAGCAATGTTGCTAGCCAAACTTGGAGTACAAGTCCTGCTTGTATTAGGACGGTGCTGTAGCACACGTTTCTGACATATTTGTGCGAGTGTGTGGTAATCCGACACAGTCGACCGATTTCATGTGGGAGTCGGTGTCAGAGCATCGGCCGAAAAATCAGCCCAGTGTGAGCCAGGCATTAGCCAGGCATTAGCCAAGCATTAGAGGTTGTCAATGGAGGGGCAATGGCAAAATTCCAGCTTTTGGTCACTTTTCGAAAGTTGCATTGATGAACAACTTTACACTGATCAGATTGGTTTCTATAATACTGTAGCTAGCTAGGAATTGCCCATTGAGTTCTTTTTTTATGTTGTATTTCTACTCGGTGTAGCTACAGACACTGTGCCATTCAGTCCGGATGTTTCACCAAATGGCATCACAACGCTCCCGGGCAGCACTGCAGCCATGTCCATTGTACAGGTTGCGCTGCCGTCACTTCCAGAGTCTCTGGCCGACACGTACCAGAACTGGGACGTGCAGTGGCGCACGCAGGGTTCAGGTCCTTGGGCAAGAACCGTCGTCGGTGCCAATTCGTCATTCACCACACTGCATCCGGAGCTCCCAAAAGGAAATGACACCTACGAGCTTCGCATTCGTGCCAGCGGCAGTGGTGGCGAGTCCCATTTTGGAATGACTCACTTGTTTTCCGCACACCGGAACCGTAAGCTATTGATGATAGATCGCATAGACCCCAGAACTACGGGTAGGATCTAGCAGTAGAACCAGCAGTACCAGCAGGACCAGTAGGACCAGTAGGACCATCGTACATAGACATGCTGCACAGCCTGGGTTCGAACATTCACCTACAACTTGACCCTGATGAATTCTTGTCAAGGTACTGATAAAGGAGTCCACAAATTTTAGACGTCATTCCACGAGGAATATTACTAATCTCTATGGCAACAGCTCATGGTAACAGCGGAAGTGGAGTGTGGAATGTTGCGCTTCACTGTCATGGTTATGCAAACAACCCTTTACTCATTTCCAGGCCCCCAGGGATAGGGACATCCCCATACTTCACACATTTATCTTCAACAACAGCCATGGGGTGAACTAAAAATGCTTCGCGACTACTTGCTACAGGACAAGACAGGCCTGGGCAAGACAAGACCGCACACGACTAGACAATACTGAGAACTGATGAAGACAGGGAAGTATTGGCAGCATATGAGCACGTGTAAAATAAATCAGTCATACACGGGACAATGACGTCAACGTTGCTTTTTATTAGTGCACAGAACACTGCAACAACAAAAGAATACAACCAACGTAATCCGGGGAAACGCAAAATATTACAAAAGCAAGAGGCCATGAAAAGTCTTTCACCAAACAGCAAAACCAAGCAATATCAAAAACCGGTCCGCGACACATTGCAAACTGAGAAAAACCATAAGTCCTCATCATGATCGATATGCCGCGGTCAAAATTCACATTTGACATAGTTGCTAGCTCCAACCACAGCATGTGCGGCTCTTTTGACAATTGTTAAACTGCACATATGCAATGCCCCGGATATAGCCTTGCATTTTGCGCCATCGCTTCGACTTGCAAAGACAAAGACCTCAACTCGACAATTTTCTACTGGAAGCACTTCGCGATTTCTCACTTCCATTAAAACGCACATGAAGTATGCTGCTCATACCAGTAAATCCCAGTGGGAGCTGGTCTGTTGCTGCAATTAAGGAAAATGATGCCCGACCCCAGCGCAAACCAAAAGGATAACATTTTGGCAGACCGAGATAAAGCGTAGCGACAAGACAAAGCACTGTCTACCGTGGTAGGTGGTCAGTCACCAACATTCCTCTCAGTATCCAGTTGTCACTTGTTATACCGAGCAATGCGTTCTTTTCTCCAGAATATAGTCTATTATAGTTTCTCCACGCAACTTTCAACACTATGGATGATATTTGTGTTGCTATTACAGCTCCACCACCTCTGACATTTGTACCGGGAAGTATCACGCACGACACTGCCACCATCCAACTTCCGGCATTCTCCGAACTGGGAACATACCACCTGGAGACAAGCTATCTGGACCAAGAGATTGGCATCTACACGCCCTGGCAACGTACGCACGCAATTCCGTCAAGCATCGGAGTAAGCCCGAGCGTCATGCTTACTGATCTGATGCCAGGCACTGTATACAAAGCACGCTATAGTTTTGTTGGAGCTGGCTATTCAACGGAGCTCAGTGATATACTCGGTTTCAGGACACTAGAAGGTGAGACGAGGGTTTAGGATTTCAAACCAAGTAGATATTTTTTAACTTCCCGATCTACATAATACATCTACATGAATGAACAACGCATACTGGGCACTCTGTCGCACTCTGTACTCAACAACCGGGTAAAAAGTGACCGCGTGTTCTTTTTTTAGCCGGGTCCACATACTGTGAAAGCAGAAATTTTCGGTGGTGTAATATTTTCGGTATTCTCCAAAGTCGGCTGTTCGGTGGAGGGAAATTTTCAGTAAAACCCGTTTTCCAGGTAAGTGTACTAGTACTACATGTACATGTATACAGAATCGGTTGTGCCGAAAATTTTGGTGCGTTTTATTTTCGGTGAAAATTGTCGGCACCGAAGTTACCGAAAATAAAACACCACCGAAAATTTCTGCTTTTACAGTACCTCCCAACCGGGTCGGTGACCAGGCTCACCTGGCCCTGTAGCCGACACTGGATTCATGTTGTGTTTATGTGTTCCGTGCCGGTGATCATGGGACACCTTCATGGCCACTCATTCTTTTTGTGTCTTTCTGTGTCTGCATCAACCAACAGAAGGAGCAACTCCTGCGCCTCCCACAACACAGCCACCGATAGACGTTTCCGAAGGTAAGCAGGACATTATGCGGACATTGTATCTGTTGGAAAGCCAACAAAAAATGTTCTGTGAACCATCCCAATCATCTGCAGAATGTTGAAATATGTGTATACTAAGTGTCCTGACGCATGTATATTTGGTTCTTATACTAGCAAGCGCTCTGGAATTGAATCCTGTGCTATTAACAGTTTGCAGTTGTATCCTGCTGGGTATATGCATCTATATCAGGCTAATGGACTTGTACTTCTGTGCTTGTAGGGTCATTTGCAACAAACTTTGGCAGTGCACATTGGCGTGTTCTGCCATCAGGACGTGTCATGTTCACGCTCCGTCAGTCGACTAGGGACTTTGACCCTCTTGCCAATTATATAGCTGTTGGCTTTTCCACCGACCGTTATATGGTGAGTTTCTAGCAACTATGCGCAATAATCCACATATCTGTTCCCCAGGTTCTGCATGCAGTCATGTTCTCCAAGGTCGCGTTGCCAGTTTTGGTGGTTCTTGTTCTCCCCTGAGTATAGTGCTCATCCGATTGCATGTACGAGTATGTGAGAATTCATTACTGGGACCTTTTGTGTCTTTTAAGGCTTGAACCTTTTTGCCTGGGGGCATCTGTGGCGCACAACACTGAACAATATTCTCCCTGTAGCCTGGTATTGTCCTGGGCTTGTAGCAATCAGATTTTCACTTGACCTTCAGGTTTTGAGTGTTTACTTCTTTGGATGGCCTGTCAGATATGTTTTGTTCTTTGGCTTGCATTGCGGAGTGCAGGGCAACAGCGATATCATCACTGCGTATGCTGAAGCAAATGCAGACTCGTCTGGTTCCAGTCCTGTTATACAAGACCGGTGAGTTTGCACTGACCACTTAACTGTACACTTCTGGTGTGGAACATTAGCTGTAAATATTCCACACTTTACATTAGTCGTCTCTTTGTTCCACAATCCTCTAGATGCCAGTGTTCTCCATTTGTTTAGCACAACTGTTGATTATAACGTTTCCTCTCGCCTTTCTGTTCCATTATAATTAGGTGGGCAACAGAGCGACTTCGACCGGATGTGGACATCAACGACCAAGTAGCTGATAGAAGCTTCACCTCAGCTGACGGCATGAACGTGTTTGAGTTCACACTGCCGTGCCTGAGCGACGACAGTCGTGATATACCTGTTAACGGCGAGCACTTTCTCTTCCTTGCCACCGGGAAGCTCGGCAGTGGTGAAATCCTGTACCATGGCATTAACAAAGCTATCACACCCAACATGGTTACCATCCACTGTGAACACGCTGGTACGTATTCTGACAACTTTGTTGTGGAGTGTTTCTGCCCCTGCAGACAATGATCCTGCAATCAGACATTTCTCTTGTGTTCACAAACTTTACTAGAGCCAGCAGTTTCCTGTTTGCCCTCCAACAACAAACTCAAGTCAACCCTTCAAAGAGCCATGATCTCTCCCACTCCAGTGCTACCCCCCCCCCCCTCCCCCTGTGCTACAGTGCTACCCCCCTCCCCCTCACCTAAGATTATCCAGTAATCAACACCTGGTTTCCTTAGGTGCGTCCTAAGGAATAGTAAAGCCCAGTGGAAGGTTTATAAGCCAGCCTAGCTGAGTGCACCAGTTTTATTCTACCGGTCGCAGTATAATTTTTCACTGTGTGTAAAATGGTGCACGGTGGACGATGGGGAATTGACTGTACTGCTTGCCTGTTTGTGTGTCTGCAGATATTCCCGTCGGCGTCCAAATGCCCATAGGTCAGTAGAGCGGACTTGATGTGTATAATAATTAACTGTGGTTCTCGCATCGTTTACGCCCTGTCATGTGGTTTGTTGCTGCTCACCACAGTGCTCACAATGATAGTAGCAACCCTTACGTTGATCTGTTGCGTATGTTTTGGATTTGTGTTATATCCATGCTGGGCACCAGACCCAGTGATCACAACACTTATGCATGCATTTGGACGGCTAGAATCTGCCTTGCAACAGGTCGCGGGAGCGTCAGAATGCCTGCAATGTTGCATTGGTTCCAATACCCTTGGGTGGGCGATTGTGTTGTTGCAGAGAAGGAAGCACAGTTGGTAGTAACAAAACTTGGTCTTCTGGACAAGGAAATACACTGCACCAGTGCACTGCTCAGAAGGGCTGCAAAGCGGCCGACACAAGCTGACTTCCGGCTTAAATGGGCAGCGCTGTTGTACATGGTGTAGAATTCTAGACAGTGTATATCCTGTGTATTCACGGAAGAATATTTTCACATAAACAGACACAAGTAAACACAATGAATTTTCTAGATCCTGTTAGGCCATTCATATAACATGGCTATCTGATTACTGTTCATCGCTGCAGAGCAATTCCCGGAGAGTGGAGCAATCATGGTTAATCTTCCCACCACCGCGTCAAGTGATGCCACCGCCTTTGACATCCAGTACAGAGTGGCTGGCAGTGGCACTGACTTCATGTCGGCTGCCCAAGTTCCAGTGTCTACCACCAGCTACACATTGGGAGGCTTGAACGAGAATGAAGACTATGAGATCAGAATCCAGGAAATGAAACCTGTTGGTCCCCAGGAAGTACAGCGCTATGATGCAACGGCATCAGGTATGCGTATATGTCCACATTGATTGAGCTTACCAGTTGTCACAGATTATTGCATGCAGTTTTGTAGTGTGTGCCTGTACAGTAAAACCTGTGACTACCGACCACCCCTTGGTGCCAGCAAAAGCGGTCTTTAGTAGCAGGTGGTCTTTAGTTAGAGGTTTGCACCACGCGACCATATATGGATCCCATTATATGATAATATTATGTATATCAAAATGCAACTAATACAATTCCCCAAGACTTGCGCAATGCCATTCTTATTTCAGGTCATACAACACTTGGAGAGAAAGACGGAGAGATACAGAGAGAGAGAGAAGATTAATTTTTTTTGCGGACATCGAATTCTGCTCCTACTTCTGAAGCCAGGAGTCAAACGTTCCCTGTGGAAGTTTCGTTTTGCGCTGGGCTTCAAATTTGTTCATGCGATCAATCGTACCGACTGTCCTTGTTGCGACTTCTCGATTGCTTGAACGCGACCATTCAGCATCAGGACCTTGCGGTGCTGCTTTGTTTCTGGATTCCTTTATGCCATCGTCAATTCGTCTGTATGACTGGGGTGACAGAGCCGCTCAGTCTTCGTTTCTCCTCCGAGTAGTAAAACATCGATCAGAAAGCGCTTTCGATGCGCTCTCCAAGACGTTTCCTATCATGTCTATTCTTGACCGAGCTTGAATTTCTGACAGGTGTAGTGCAGTCCACACCGACTCCACAGTCAAAATGACCTGCGTTCATTTCTTCAGCTGTGGTACCGAAAGATTCCTTTCAGGACCACCGAAAATCATCAAAATTTCAAGAAGGAGCTTCGAGCAACATTTGATTTCCTACATCGCGGTCGCTAGTTACGGGTCAAAAATCGTCTTTGGGACAAGAAAAGGTGGTCGCTGGTCGCGTTCAGCAGGTAGTCGCTAGTCACAATCAATTTTGAATGTGAGACCGTCCGTGCCTGGTGAAGTGGTCGGTAGTACCAGGCTGGTCGCTAGTCACGGTGGTCTTTAGTTACAGGTTTTACTGTATGTGCAATGGATGTGTGTGTGTGTGTGTGTGTGTGTGTGTGTGTGTGTGTGTGTGTGTGTGTGTGTGTGTGTGTGTGTGTGTGTGTGTGCGTGCGTGCGTGCGTGCGTGCGTGCGTGCGTGCGTGCGTGCGTGCGTGCGTGCGTGCGTGCGTGCGTGCGTGCGTGCGTGCGTGCGTGCGTGCGTGCGTGCGTGCGTGCGTGCGTGCGTGCGTGCGTGCGTGCGTGCGTGCGTGCGTGCGTGCGTGCGTGCGTGCGTGCGTGCGTGCGTGCGTGCGTGCGTGCGTGCGTGCGTGCGTGCGTGTGTGTGTGTGTATCTGTGTTTATGTACTAATATGTGTGTGAGTGTGTGTGTGTAAGGAGGCTGGACCTAAACACACCGAAATCATCATCTCCACGACAGTCAGTACAATATACTACAATCCTGGCTATCCATGTGTTGGTTATACTTGTTCTGCAGAGAGCACTATTAGTGTTCCGGTGCTGTTGCCAAGCTCCTCACCCGGAGTGACTGACTGGAATGTACAAGTGCGACAGCGCGATGCAAACGGCATGTATGGTCCTTGGCAAACACAAGCACAGCTGCCCAGCCAGACTCCGCAGTACAGCTTGGCGGGGTTGTCACGTGGGAACACCTATCAGTACAGGATTACCGACAACACCGGCAGTGTCTATCACACCGGGGAGTTCTCGGTTCCCGCCAATCAGCAACAGCTACCAGGTTAGCATGCATGATAATCAAGCCTTGTATTGGTGTATACAGTAAAACCTGTCAATGCAACCACTTGGATAAGGCGACCACCTGCCCTACAAGACCACTGCAACCAAGGCCAAGAGTTGCTATTTCCAGTCAAATGACACTGGATAAGGAGACCACCTGGTAGCAGAGATCACGTTTTGAAGGTCCCTTGAGCGGTGGTCGTCTTAGATAGGTCTCACTGTATGTTGGTATTGTAGTCCTCTGCCAAATGCCATCCATTCACTTGTTTGTATCATGTTTTGATTGCATTTCTTGTGTCCAGTATTGGAAATTCTGGTCTTCAAAACCACGTCCACGTCGATTGAGCTTGGCTTGCCCGGAGCAATTCCTGGCCTACCCGACTGGGAAATTTCCACCGAGGCACCAGGAGAGCCTGCAACAACAGCCACCGTTCCTACATCCGAAACCAGACATACAATATCTGGCCTTAGTCCAGACACCATGTACAGCATACGCGTGCGGCCTGCAGGTACTGGGATAGCCGGCGTTGTGCTGCGTGTGAGGACGGGATCTGCCACGCAAACCCCACCAAAGCCAACAGAAGAACCGCAGAAGCCAGTTGATACCCATTCACCTGACGGTGAGTCGGGCGCGGGTATCACAGAGTAATACTTATTGTACATTTACCCATGATGAGAAGGGAACGAAAACGCCCGGTTACTAAATTGGCTTACTTGACTGTGTGGATTGCGTCGGTGCTGACACTTTTTCTTTCAAAATTGTATATTCTGTGTTTCAAAATATGCTGGACTTAACAAGCAAGCAGGTTACCAACAAGTAGACACATAATGCCTGGTGACGTGGTGTTAAGTCTGACCAGATGCATTCATGAATGAATTCAGCCTTTCCACAGGCTCATATATGCTCAAATGAGTCCATCAAGCATTCTTTTATCCTGTTTCTTCTGTGTTTGTAGGCTCCGGAGGGTCGTTTTCCCGAAGCTTCATCGGCGCCCAGTGGAGAGTAATGCCATCTGGCCGCGTGGAGTTCCAGCTCAGCAGCACTCAGGATCCGCTTGTATACTGGCTTGGACTGGGCATATCTGATGACCCACTAATGGTAAGAGCTATGTTAGTAACATTGTGGGAGGTCTTCAGCTTCATGGTCTGCATTAGTACTACGGTTCAATCAGAGAAATGGATCATTAGAATCAAGGTTTGGGGAACTCAGTTTTTTCGGGGGCTGCATGAGTAGGGGTTTGGTCGGGTAACGGGTTCGGGTATTTTTATCCGGGTAGCACGGGCACCATATCGGGTATTTTTTGACACGGTTTGTACTGCGAGTGTGCACTTGCACTACATACACAGTGTACAGTAGGCAAGTATGCGTACTGTTTACATGCACCGTTGCAAAAACACCATACTCCAACTACCCGGTCGGGTTCTCAGGAGCAAATTGCTACCCTACTACCCGATCAAATTACGGGTAGCACGGGTACCTTACTACTCGTTGACACCCCTAGTTTTGTCCACTCGCCAATCTGGAATAATTTGCACAATCAGCTCTCTGGGTTTGTGATGGAAAAGATGAAGAGCTGTATCATAGCATTAGTGCAAAGTCCCACTGTTTTTGCCAGGTGTTGGTCAGATTTTGGCATAGAGGTGTACGGAATGGTAAAACAATTCACGGTTCGCTCGGACTCGGCTAGAGGCCGAGTTTTCCGCATCCATAGGAACGCCACCACCATTCAAGGATCACGGAATGGTAATTAATAACTATGCATTTTTTTCAATGTCAAATGTGTCGATTAGGCATGTACTTCAAGGTTCAAACAAGGCACTGCAGAATTGTCAATGTGCAATTGTTGTGCGATATACATGTCCTTGCTGTGCATGGAGGTAATATTGTCTACCGAAACTGTAGTAATGGACTCAGATGGAGAACCAAGGATAAATTTCTAGAAAAGAAAAAGGCCAAGGAACTACAATTTACGCTATATTGTTCACTAAAACCAGTATCGTCATGGACATGTATGTAAATCCGCATCGACATGCTCCGCCAACCATGTACATCCGCCAACGTTCTTCACAGCTGAGACTTTCAGCTCGTGCTTGTCTTGGTTGCACTCACCTTCCCCTCCTATGTTATCATATTAACTTGGAACCTTCAAAGTTGGAAGGCTGTTGGAGTGCGCATCCAAGATGGGTTAGCGCTGATAGCCAGTTAGTTGTAGACCATCAGTACCGTCGGTCAGTGTCGTGCAATGTTTTCGCATGAGCTGATTGTTTAGTAGCTGGTGGTTTTAGTGGACATTATAGCGCAACTTTTATTTTATTTTTTATAGCGTAACTTGTAGTTCCTTGCTCCTTTTTTTTCTAGAAAACTGTAGTACATTATCCCAGGTACAAGAATCCTTTCTTCTCATATTATACAAAGTAATCTCATAGTGGTCTGGCCTCCGAACTCCTTGGTAATTTGCCCAGCAGTCTATGGCACTGCACTTATACATTTTGACTCTTTTCTTATGCCTGCAGAGCAACAGCGACATCATCACGGCCTACACAGACAGCTTGTCAGGGACTGTTGTGGAAGATCGGTAAGTCAATATCAATTTGTGTATGCAGATAAGCATGTAACTATTATTATATCAACGTATGGTATGCCTGTGGGCAAACACAGCCTACATGTAGCTATCAAGTACAGACACACAAATATGTGTGTATGTGTGTGTTATCATTTTTCATGCAGATTTGCGTCTGCCCAGTTCCGTCCTGCCCTCGATGCGGACAATCAAGTGTCGGATGTGCGTGTGTCCCAGAGTGGCGGAATCACCACATATTCATTCACATTGCCGTGTATGAGCTCCGACAGCCAGGATATTCCCCTGAACGGATCTCACTACCTACTGTTTGCCACTGGCAGATTGTTTGATGGCAACCTTGCTTATCATGGAGGTTTGAGTAGAGCTGTCACAAGTAACAAGGTGCCAATCAACTGTGGTACGTACTGTCCCTAGAAAAATGTGCACGTCAGTGTTTGAGGCTTTGCCCTTTTCATGCATGAAGCCAAACACACATAGACATGCAAAATGTAGTTGAACTTGTCTTGCTCATTGCCAGAAAACTTCATTGCCAGAAAACGCTTTACATAGGTCTTCCTGGTAGAGGATGAGAGCGTTGAAAAGAATCTTTGCAAGATGACTTAATTTCCTATTGAATTGCCAAAATGCCCCCCCCCCCCTCAATTCCCAGCGTCTGGGTAGACTTGGCATGATCCCATACCTCACCACACCACAGTAAGTGGGTGAGGACCAGGTTCTGAAAAAGATATGAATAGTATCAGGTATCAGACCAAGGATCCAACTGCATTCACCCCGTGTGTGTGTGGGAAGGTAATACTGGGTACTGACTACTGACGTTAGCCTGAGTTGCTGAATCAGAGTGCGCACATACACCCAAACACCTGCACATACACCTGCACTGTACATCCATAAGCCAAGAGCATGCATCCATACAACTTGTAACACCTGTGCAGACAGACATACACACAGAGCAGGCAATACATTGTAGACACATGGCGTGCAGTGGCAGTACAGGGTTGTGTCCTACCCCAGGGGGTTCTACTCGGACTCATCCAGCTCGATCACACACACACACTCGAGGCCATTACAGATTTCAGTACTTCTCGAACTCCATATCCGAAAAAGACCAAGCTCACGTGCGAGCATGCGCACTACATACATATGGTCCATGTCCAGGACATGACACAGTACAGGGTTGGTGATATGTCGTAACCTTGCTGGATGGTTTATCTTCCACTGGCGCAAGAGACAGCGACCTGAAGACCTTACCCAGACAGGAGCTCCCCATCAAAATAGTGGATCTACTGACAGGCCAGCATGATGGCATGCACCTAAACCTCAAAACTCGTGAGATGTGCGGCAACATTGAGTGCACTCTTCACATGACTTGCTCTCTGTGATGGACTGGGTGTCGAACATTGATACTCACTGTGATGGGCTGGGTATCCAGAATGATGTTGTTCATTTTGTGCGCTTCAAAATGTGATTGCCTTTCCTGCCATTGTTGCCTTTATCAGTGTCCAGAGAGGTCCGATGCCGGGACCTTGTGTGTGATATTCCGCAATGCGAGCGTCTGGGACTGGTTGTCAACTACACCACTGAAGCCTGCTGTCCCATCTGCTCCCCACCTCCTGGTAAGCTACACATTAGGAGTGTTCTCTTGTGTTGATTGTATTCAAAGGAGAGGCTTTGCATTTGGTTGAACGGACAACACAGCTGCTGATTAAATTCTCCAATTTTCAGGAATGTTTTCAATATGTGGAGATTGTAAGATGCGTTGTGTATGCCTTTGTTTATTAGATCCATGTGCTGGAATAGTGTGTGATATTCCACAATGTGAACGTCTTGGACTGGTTGTAAACTACACCAGTGGAGCGTGCTGTCCCATCTGCTCCCCACCTCCCGGTAAGTCGGCACGGCATTCGCGGTTAGATGTCAGCTAAATGCTCGATAACTGCAATAGCAGGTCGACTCTCGTATCGCGGTTGTAGAAATAATAATACACCACCTGATTAGAGTTGTGTCAGGTCCCCATTTCCCATACATTTTTAGTCGCACACCCTATCCCCTGCTAGCCTGCTGAATAAATTCTCAACCTTTCAGACAAGAGGATTTTGAGTTGAGACTATGAGATGTGCTGCTCTGTATGCCTTTGTCAATCAGATCCATGTGATGGAATAGTATGTGGTATTCCACAATGTGAACTTCTTGGACTAGTTGTCAACTACACCAGTGGAGCATGTTGTCCAGTTTGCTCTCCACCTCCCGGTAAGCTACACATTCTAGGAGTATTCTCTTGAGGCGATCGCAATTGGTCTTGCATTTGGTTAAGTGAACAGTTTTAAGACTCCTGTTGACTATATTCTTAACTGTTTAAGCAATACGATTTTTTGGTTGAGATTACCGCACTCACTCAATTACAAGCCAGGGTCTTCTATTTTTTTTAATGGCAATTTTGAGGAGGGAAGGAAATTGTTTGGGAACACATGTTCCGCAAGTTGCACGCTCGAAAGTCCAAACAGCAATGACATGCAAGAAACATTGTACAGGATTCTGAAGGGCGCGTGCCCACGTGACTCGCGCATGCATGCAGGTTGGGCCAGCTCGCTGGGCTGGCTGGTAACTCGCGTTAGCATGCTAACGCTCATATATTCAAAGCAACTCGGCCTCGGGTTAGTTCACATGCACAGTGTCAACCAGGCTATATGAATGTGATGTTTTCTACGCACTTCACCTGACCCAACATGGCACTGCCTGGCCACTAGACGCGCTGCTAATAGTAGTCCTCGATTCTATTCAAGAGGGGTTTGTATTTTCAAGCAGTCGTTGCATGGGGGATGCTGTTATCCAAGAGCGGCTTTTACTCGAGAGGGCTTCTAATCGAGTGAGTGTGTTTTAAGATGTGCTGCTCTGTACGCCTTTGTGTGTCAGATCCATGTGCTGGAATAGTGTGTGATATTCCACAATGTGAACGTCTTGGAATGGTTGTCAACTACACTAGTGGAGCCTGCTGTCCAATCTGCTCGCCACCTCCTGGTAAGTCGGCACGGCATTCGCGGTTGGATGTCAGCTAAACGCTCGATAACTGCCATAGCAGTGTCACTCGTGTATCGCGGTCGGAGCAATGATACTATGCCACCTGAGTTGTGTCAGGTCCCTATCTCCCACACATTTTTAGTCGCACATCCTTTCCCCTGCTAGCCTGGTGAATAAATTCTCAACCTTTCACGCAAGAGGATTTTAAGTTGAGACTATGAGATGTGCTGCTCTGTATGCCGTTGTGAATCAGATCCATGTGCTGGAATAGTGTGTGATATTCCACAATGTGAACGTCTTGGACTGGTTGTCAACTACACTAGTGGAGCCTGCTGTCCCATCTGCTCACCACCTCTTGGTAAGCCAATCATTCCTGTAGTCTTTTGTGTCTATCATATTCGAATGGGAGGTCTTGTATTTGGTTGAATGGACAAGACAACTGCTGACTAACTTCTCAATTTTTCAGGAAATCAACTGTTATGTAAGGATTATAAGATGTGTTGTGTGTGCTTTTGTGCATTAGATCCCTGCGCTGGAATAGTGTGTGATATTCCACAATGCGAGCGTCTTGGACTGGTTGTCAACTACACCAGTGGGGCATGCTGTCCAATCTGCTCACCGCCTCCTCGTAAGCCTACCATATCAAAGAGTGATATTGATGAGTTTTAGGAATTGGCTTGCGGAGTAATACAATAATTAATAATTAAAATAGCCAAAACCCATTAGCATCCCTCACCTCGCAACAGTGCAACCATGTGTTGGATTAAGCTGGGAGTGCCGATATGAGCAACTGCTTCTAACATTGAAGCAAGCGTATGCTGACTCTGCTTGGAGCTGCAATAGATGGCTCGCAGCCAGGCTGCAAAATGACTCCGAGTAGAGCCACCAAATGCTACATATAGGTGTGTTGTGTCCTACCCCAGGTGGGTTCTACTCGGACTCATCCAGCTCGATCACACACACACTCGAGGCCATTACAGATTTCAGTTCGTCTCAAACTCCATATCCGAAAAAGACCAAGCTCACGTGCGAGCATGCGCACTACATACATATGGTCCATGTCCAGGACATGACAATTTCCCCCTCACTAGTTGAGGCGAAGCATCTAGAACTATGCAATAGTAAACATATCAAGATGCAATCACAAAACTCACAACTGCCGAGACATAATATTTCATGATACACTATACACCATATATACACCATAAATATGAGCCCCAGCCGGCAGAAACCTGAACATGTGTAATTTTTTCAAAAATTATTTTTTCGCTCGAAATTGATTTAACACTATTAATCATTCAAGTTATCAAGTTTGGTGACAATCTGATGAGCGAAAGCATGGAAAATAGAGTTTGAAGTCACACAGGTCAAGATTCGGTACAGTGGGCGCAGCATCCATGCCCAGTAACTCCATGCAAGTTGATCCTACAGTTTCTGATTGTGATGTGGAACAGGTACATGTAAGTAAATAGAATGCAAGTCAGGCTTGCCTTCTTGGTGATGCAGGCATGAGTAGTTCAGAAGTGTGACGATATTCCGTATACACCACTACCTTCTTTACAACACCAGAGTGCGAAACGATGATTGGTGGCTGGCCTTCCAAATTGTGTTCAGGGACCTCTGTGCTGCCAGTTTGAGCGTTGTCCCAAAGCTTGCCATACTGATAGATGTACTGACCAATACCACTGACATCCACTCCCTTGCACACTTTCACTCAGACCATGATTTCAGCATAATTGTATTTCAATGATATGAGCGAATATTCGCGTTTTCTACCACGTGAAGATGTTGCCCCAAAGCGTTCAGCCGGTTTGACTTTTTTGGGATCGCCTTTCTCAGCACAGGCAGCAGCCAGCTTGGCGTCGTCTGGCAAGGTAGAGTACTGATATTACTACGCTCTGTTTTGCGCCGTGAGAAGCCCTCCATCAGTGTCTGCAACATCATTGTTGTCGATGTAGAAATACGGATCGCTCAGCGGGTCGACATTCAGCTTCTCCTCGCAGTCGCTATTACTCCAGCACTGACTATCGTCGCCATCAGTATCCAGTGTCGATTTTATGAGGGCTCTTCATTGCTATGCAGATGAGACTCGCCACTGCTGGACAAACTCAGCGAGGTCGCCACCAAAGAAATAATTCCGATCGCGAACTAACTTTCAGCGCCGCTTCGTACAGGGAGTCTCATGCTGACTACTCTGGACATAAGTCCTTGTCGCGACACCTGTCGCCATCGCTGTGTCTAAACTCAACCTCCGTGTGACGAGCTCTCACCTAGCGCTAAAATCAATTGACCAGAGACATTTGAAGACACTTGAAACTCCTTTGACAACAAAGACACCCACTCGATCGAAAAAAAATCTTCAAAAGCCAGCTCACTGCGCGTCCCAAACTTTGACGTCACATTTTGATGATTGATATCAAGTACACAAGTGCTGGTTTTCGCTGGCCGGGGCTCATATATAATTATTATACAATATCCAGCAGAGTCCAAAATATATCATTAAAACTCCACAGACTAGAGTAGGTCTATATGAACTGTGTGTTCTGAACGTCAATCCTTGAAACGAACTGGTCGAACAGTAGCGCGGGTTGACCGTCGTTCAGCTTGCGGTGACGACGTCTTGCTGTAGCTGGCACGTGAAGTGCTAACCGACGCAGACTCACTAGTACCGGTTGTTGCTGAGACCGGCGCGCCTAGCTCCGCTGCCGTGACACTGGCGTCGTTGTTGCTGAGTGACGGCTGTGACGGAACCTGAGCTGTTAAATTTGCTCCACTCTGCTCAGACGCCCTTGCATCGAACTGAGGGATTTGCCGAGGACGGAGCTGGTTGCGATGGCGTTTCCACATTGCATCACCGACTTGTATCTGATACGTCATCGGACTGAGAACTGCCGTGACCACGGCTGGGGCCCACTTATCTCCTCCTTTGCCGAAATTCAAAGCCAGGACAGCTTGGCCGCACTGAAATTCCGGCATGTGCTCCAGATTGTTCTCGTAAACCTCCACGCCCTTACGCCCTTCCATTTTCAAACGATCATATTTGATGCGAGGTTGTCGCCCCATCAACATCTCGGCCGGTGTTTTTCCATTCGCCTGTGGGGTAGTACGATGCGAGAGCAAAAACCTCTGCAACTTTGAGTGAAGTTGCCCTGGTTCCTCATCCATGACTTTCATTTTGCTCTTGAAAAACCCCACGTACCGTTCTGCCATTCCATTGGTGGCCGGATGGCCAGGAGCGGTACACGTGTGATGAATTCCATTCTTCCGCAAGAACGTTTGAAATTCGTCGCTTGTGAACTGTGACCCATTATCCGTGACGATATGGTTTGGCAGGCCGAAAATAGCAAACACGCGTTGCAAAGCCATTATTGTTGACGCTGACGTAGCATGGGACGACGGAATAACGTCAATGTACTTGGAGTAAGCATCCACCAACACCAGGAACATTTTGCCGAGAAACGGTCCTGCAAAGTCAAGATGCAGTCTCTGCCACGGTCCTGCCGGCCATGTCCAAGTTGCAAACTCTTTCGGGGGATTCTTGGCATTGAGTTGACATAGGGCACACTGCTTGACCGTCGACTCGATATCTTCGTCGATTTTAGGCCACCAAACGTATCTCCGAGCCAACCGTTTCATTCTCACTACCCCAGAGTGTTCTGAGTGTAGGTCATTGAGTAGGATTACTCTCAGGGAGTCGGGCATGACCACCCTTCCATTCCATAAAAGGATGTTGTCCTCCACTGACAGTTCCCACCGTTTAGCAAAGTAAGGAAAGAGTTCTGGCTCTGACACTTCCTCCCAACCATTAATCGTGAAATGGAGTACCTTCTTCAGGACGACATCCCGTTTCGTTTCCGCCGCTACAGTAGCAGCCCTGATGATTTCAGATTCTTCTTGAACAAACAACACCTGTTGTTCAACCATTTCATCACGAGTAGGATCGCCACTCATTGGCTTGCGCGACAAATAGTCCGCAAATACATTCTTTCTGCCCGGAATGTACTCCATTGAGTAGTTGTATGCCGACAAAACCATCTTCCATTTTTTCAGCCTCGAAGATACCAGAGTAGGCACTTTCTCTGTGCAGCCGAACAATTTGAGTAATGGCTGATGATCCGTTCTCAGCATGAACGTCCGTCCCAACAGATATTGACGAAATTTGGTAACTCCAAACACCAACGCCAACGCCTCCCGTTCGATATTGGAGTAGTTCTTCTCCGCTGACGAGAGAACACGAGACCCGTACGCTACAGGACGAAGCTCGCCCGATTCGTCCTTCTGAAACATTACCGCACCGAGACCAATGCCCGAAGCATCCGTTTGAAGGATCAGATCTTTCTCCGAGGAATAGTGAATGAGTACTTCACTGGAACACAGTGCAGCCTTTATTCGAGAAAATGCATTCTGCTCATTTTCCTCCCATTGCCATTCAGCAGATTTCTTCACCAGATTGTACAGAGGTACCATTATTGTTGCGAAATGAGGTATGAACCGTCGCAAGAAATTCGCCGTTCCAATGAATGATTGAAGCTCGTTAACATTCGAAGGAGCCTTAGCGTCCCGCATTGCCTCAATCTTATCCGCTGTGGGAGCCACACCAGCACTAGAAATCGTGTGACCCAGGTAGGAAATCTCATCCATCATGAAATGAAACTTACTGGGATTAAGCTTCATCCCGACCTCCTGTAGGCGACGTAGTACCCTGATCAGGTTGTTGTGGTGTTCATCCTCATCCTTCCCAGTAATCAGGATGTCATCCACATAGACGATGCACCCAGGCAGATCTGCCAATATGGATTCCATTGTGCGTTGGAAAATTGCCACTGCCGAGTGAATGCCAAACGGCAATCTCACGTATTCATACAACCCCTTGTGAGTAGAGATTGTTGTGTACGGCCAAGAAGCTGGATCAAGCTCCAGTTGGTGATAGGCTTGGGAGAGATCTAATTTGGTGAATTTATCTCCCCCCGACAATTTCGCTAACATTTCCTCAATAGTAGGTAGCGGGTAGTGCTCCAAATCAGACTTGGCATTGATTGAGCGAGAGTAATCAGCACAAATTCGGATACTACTGTTGCGTCCCCGGCTCACAGTGACCGGACCCCGAAATCACTACGAGCGGCGACTGAATATAGACGTGTGGCCTCACGACAAGCCCAACACAACCCAGGGGCCAACCAATATAGCTGGCTTGGTCCAAGTTCAACCCCACACGATCAACAGACAAAGACTGTTAGTTTTACGTTGTGAGTAGTATCAAATCCGAGCTCAAAGTAAACGAAGACAGAGAGCTGAGACCGAGTCTCGACTGCTAGACTAGACTAGACTAGACTAGACTAGAACTGAACTGAAGTAAGAAAGAGAATGAGAGCTTCTTTTATAGGGTGCTTCAGAGATATATGGCGTGATCATTGCGAGGTAATTCCAGCAAATAGCAGAACAAGTCAAACCGGAATGTGCGCAGCCAGTCAGCAGAAATGCAGAATATACGTACGGTGATCATTCGAGAAGAAAGAGAAAGAAAGACATCGAGAGAAGAAAGACCAAATTGGGACGTGGGGAGCCCGCTCACCCACGTCAGAGTACAATGTGAGTATATGAGGGTCACGTTGGGGAGCCCGCTCACCC